GTGCTTCCTTAGGACTAGCTGGAAAAGATGTTAATTAAATCGGGATGTGTTTTGTTGTAGGAAACAAATCACAATGAATATGCAGTGGATGAAGACGAAGATTCCACAGACACTGATGAATACGAAGATCGCCGCAGGGTGTTGGACATTCCTGCGCCTGGTGGACGCTGCCCACGTCACACCTGATGGGCTCTTTAACAGAACAAAATAAACTGGTTTCAGAAGCTGAACTCTTTGGGGCTAGTGCATAAGAATATTTCTGACTGTTGTAAATGGAATTCCTGTTGCACATCAGGACAACTAGCATGAATGTTGGTGCCAGTTCTAATATTCATCAGAGTTTAACTTGGTTTCTTCTCCTGGTTTGGAAGGGGAAAGATGGGGAGGGAGGGAGGGACAGGCAAAGAAGGTGTTTGGGCTTTGTTCACTTTTTTCCCAGGGTACAAAATAGCTTGATAAGCTGAGGTAATCATATCTTACATTTTTAAACTATTGCCTATTTATGATCATATTGCAAATACAGGTGTGGGGGTTTGGTTTTATACAAGCATTTAAAATTAGCAATAGACAAGATGGCAAAAAAGGTGAGTTTCTACTCTTAATAACTCCTGCTAAGGATAAAACTTGCAGTTTGCTCTTGAGATCAGGTGCTCTTCCACTCTTTTTGTTTATTAGCATAGAAGTACCAGAAAATTCTGGTCATCAGGTACATAAATGAGGAATGAAACTGGCCTTATTTTTAGACAATCTGTCTTTCAACTTCATTTTATGCTGAGTGACTCTGACTGGATAATGCCTTTTTGGAATGTAGTGTATGTGCATAAGCTGCCACTGGGTACCCAAGGAATTTCTCAGTGAACTACAAAGTATGAATTTGTAAATATGTTTTGAGGTTTTTCTTTATAAAATATTTGCTGTTCAGACTTTGTCATAGGTGTCAAATTTATGTTGAATTATCACGTTTCCCTCGATCCTCTCTGGGGTTTTGTAACTACGCCTAAATAAAAATGAGAAAAGAGGAAGAAAAGGGGAACCTGACAGAACACTAGATGATTAGAAACTTTCTATTTAAAGAAGTATCTGTTTGCTTTATCCCTTTTATTTTGTTTCCATTATTATTAATAAACAACTTAATTGCCTCCTTTGCTCTGAAGTGCTACATGGGACTCTTCTTGCCAAGACTTGAGCAATAATTGTGTGACCAGCCAGTTCTTCCTTTTGACACCCAGAATTAGTAGCTCCTGTGGGGAAAACCAGTTTATTCTGGTTCCAAGTGTTTCCATTATTGACTAGTTACTGCTTGTACAGAAAGCCTGGGGTTTTTGCAAGTCATGGTATTAGATTCTCCATGTGCTCATCTTAAGTGTCACGCAGCATTTGGATCTTCCACAGCGGTACAAGTGTTAACTGTGAGGGGAAAATATGTTTGTGCTGTAATGCTTTTTCTTCACAGAGTATTCATCATCTGTTTAAAGGATCAGTGAAAGAAGAATTTAGTTGGAACTAGACTTCATTCCAGTGATATTGGGTGTGCTTAAGGACAGATAATTCTCATGGTTGGAGGCTTGCTTGGTACTGAACCAGGATCTGTTCTAGTTCAGTGGTATCAGCTGAAAGTTCTGAGGCTCTACAGAAACACTCCCAACTCGTGGTAGTTTTCTCTGGGAGTGGTTCTCCCTTGGGATGTTAAAGAGGAGCCATAATTACTGCTTACTGTGGAAGAAGCCAAGACACAGGACAATGTTTTCTCTCAACATCTGAGCACTGTGATGTGTGGGTGCAAGGCCCTGGGTCCAAGCACAGCTTGTCACAGGACTCCTTCCAACTGTGCATGTCTCAAATGAGAAGCTGACCGTGTAAGGGGAATGAAATGTTGTTATCGTACCAAACGTGTGTTTCTAACAGGAAAAAGGTGGTTCCATTGCTCCAGGAAGCTGTTCTAGCACATGGCTTAGTGCCTAAAGCTACCAGCTGCAGTGCTGCTGCAAGCATTGGAACTCTTCATTATGTGCATTCGAAGTAGAGCTGGTGGTTCTCCTCACCCCACCCAAAACCAAAGCTCAAGCCAGCTTGGCATGAAAGAGAAGTGGATAAGAAAACAAGGAGAAAACAAGGCATCAGTTATATCTGCCAGCACAGTGGAAATCTTCACTGGGAAAGCAGGAGAGAAATGACTCGAGATCCTGCGTTGGAAGAAGAGCACTTCACTGACCCAGAAGACAGGCAGCAGGTAGGTGTGCTGTGAATTGCCACCACAGTGTACCCAACACCTTGAACACTTCTGTGGTTGGTACCGTATGTGTGTACACAGACTGAGATGTATCCATGTCATTCCCTTCAGCTGCCAAATTCAGGTTCAGCCTGAAGTTCTGTTGGCTTCTGACTCTCATACTGTGATACTGATGCTTGGTTAAGACTTGACGTTTCAAGCTACAATGAGCCTTGTTGAACATCTGTGAACTCAAAATATGGTTAAAACCATAGCACAGCCAACACAAATTCGTATCTAATCCAGTTCTTTTTCTGTACGTGGAAAACAGTGGGTCTGTGGGCTTTTGCTGGCTGGATGCTTTAATGGGGAGAACTTTTGGCTACCATTTCCTTGCTGTGACTGCATCACACGAGAGGAAAAACAAGTGGTGTGCCAGCTAGTGGTAAATAAAACCAACCCCAAAGTTGCTGTGCAAGTTATTCTGGTGCTGGGTTTTTTTTCCTGTCATTGTTTCAAGGAATTTCTCATCATCTATGCAAGGAATGTAAGGTGGAAATACCATATATCAGTGATGATAGAGATAAATGTATCCTGCCTGGGAGGAGCTGACCCCAGATTTTGGGAAGGGAAAACAAGTGAATGTTCAGCTGTGGCTGAAGTTCCTCATTCCCAGTTCTTCAGTACAAAGTTTCCAAACTGAACTAATAAATTAAGGAGGGAGTTTAATATCAGGTCTTAATTGAGTGGATTGTCAGTAAGTTGCATATAACAACCCAAAGCATCTTATTCTGACATCCCTTTGCTTTTATTTATGGCTTAAACAGAGGTAAAACCCTAAAGACATATAGATCACAGACTGAGCTGACTGATAACTCAGTTGGGACATGCCAAGGGAGCGTGATTTGACACACCAAGGGAAGGTGGTTTAAGATCCCAGTGTTTCTGGGTTTATTTTAGGTTTAATGAATGGACTGGTACTTGTGGCAACAAAAATAAACCCAGAGCACCTTTTTAAGTACAACTGGTAGTTACAGGTATTTCATCTTGCACTCAAGCCTGTGCTCAATGTCTTTTTCTAGATAGTGCTGGTTATAATCTCTTAATACAGCAAAACCCACTTTTGGTGTTTTCAATCACATTTCTGTTGCTCTCCAGTGATTTTCCAGGTTGGGAATGTTTAGCAGTATTCAGCTGCCTCTGGAGGAAACTGCCACTTTCCATTCCCAATGCCTTCCTCTGGTTTGTTCTAAGACTCTTCATCATTTTCCTTAGCCCTGTCTGTTAACTCACACACTTATTTAACCACATCTGGGGATGTATGATGGGCACGGCCACATCTTGCACTGGGAAGAAAGTAGTAGAGGGTAACGAGTGATTCTCATCAATCCCCCTATCCTACTCCATTGCCCTGTCTACCTCAGGAGCAGGGGCCTACTGGCCATTGTGGTTCTGGGGCTTTGGAACTCAGGTTTGTGGGGAGAGGGAAGTGCAGTGGGTGCAAGGTGCAGGTTTAGCCCCTGGGATAGAAGTCAAGTGTAGGAACAGCTGTGCTTAACTGAGGGTAGGAGGGATCTCTGAGCCATTAGGCAGGCCCCGTGGTGCCTCTTTGAGCACAAGTGTGATGGGGAATGGCTGAGGAACCGGATGGGGGGGTCAGTCTGGAGAAGAGAAGGTTCAGGGGGGACTTGATTGCTGCCTACAACTGCCTGACAGGAGGATGGAGCCAGGAGGGGCTGGGCTCTGCTCCCAAGGAAGAAGGGATGGGACATAGACGAAACGGCCTCAAGCTGCACCAGGGCAGGTTTAGATGGAGCTGAGGAACAATTCCTTGCCCAAAGGGTGCTCAGGCATTGGAACAGGCTGCCCAGGGCAGGGCTGGAGTCACCGTCCCTGCAAGTGTTCACACACCGTGGAGACGAGGCCTCAGTGCCATGGGATAGTGGTGGCTCTGGCAGTGCTGGGGCCCTGGCAGTGCTGGGATCCTAAAGGTCTTTTCCAGCCTGGCTGATTCTGTGGTTCTACGCGAACCAGCGGCGCCACGCACCGTTACCCCCAGCCCTGCGGCGTGCCCCTGGCTGCGGCCAACTTCGCACGGCCCGTGCGAGCCCCACGCGAGAAGAGGTCGCTCCCGCCGCACGGCACCGCTCCTCCCGCACTGCCCGCGGCGCCAGGGCAGGGCCAAGGCCGCAGCTCCGCCCCGGGGCTGGCCCAGCCGGGCGCTGCAGACCGCCCCGCATCCCGTGCCCGGCAGGCAGAGCGGTGCTGCCCGGCAGCAGGTGAGGATGGGGCGGGCGACTCCGGACCGGGTCGTGTCCCGGAGGAGCGGAGGAAGCCCGGTGCCCTTCGCCTTGTCGGGGCGCTGGGAGACTGGGGGCCAGCCCCTGTCTTGACGGGAGCCTACCAAGGGGAAACGGTGGTCAGGGGAGACGAGAGAGCAGAAGGACAAGTCCTCAGTGGGGATGAGCGGGGAGGGGTGGGAAGTAGAGTTTTTCCTAGGAACTGGGAGGGGGGCATGTTTTGGGTGGAAATCTGCGTTCGTACCTATTAACCGGTGTGGCGGTGGTGGTTTCCGTACAGGGGACTGCCCTCGGGTCTGAGTCACGGCGGTAGCACCGCAGTGCGCTAAGCGGGGCGGGCTGCGGCGGGGCTCCGGCCGTGGACCGGGACCGCGACCGCTGCGGGGGACCCCGGGGCTGGGGTAGTGGGGGGAAGTGGCTCTAAAAGAGCCGTGAGGAAGCCAGGCTGCATTTGTGGGGCCCTTGCTGGCTGCGGGGTACCGCGGCAAGAGAAGCGGTGGCATCCCCAGGAGCTACCCCGGGCCCCCCGGCACCGCGGCTCCTGGACCGGGTCGTCCTTCCCTTGCCTGCTTGGAGGTGCTGATGGAAGCAGCAGCCTGGTGTGGAACGGCTGCTGCCTCCCAGGTGGGACTGCAGAGAAATTCTGCTTCACAAGCAAGGCAGTAAGTCCTCCGCGCTGTTGCAGTTGTTATTTCTTGCTACGGAGACTGGTCAGATGCTCGAGTCAAAACAGCAGTTTAGAACATTCAGTTTAGGAATTGTTTTCTGTGTTGTTTCTTTTAAGCCACGTTGTGAATTTCTGTTTCTCTCTCTATATATGCACTTTTTTAGAGCCCAAATTTCATTGTCTCATCTCTGAAGTAAAAGAAAAATTTACCCATTTCCACAGAAAATGGATAGGTTGAATTACTCCTGACAAAGCTCTTGTGTTGGCTGCGATGCTTTTTATTAATCTGCCTTCTGTTTTTTCTGGTGATGATTTGGTTTGGCTAAAAGACAAACCCAGTTTAATCTGCTGACACCACTGGGTGCCTGAGGGCTCCTGAAAGATGGAGAGGTTCCCAGCATGATGCTGGTTGTCGTCCAGGATGGCTCTTGCTTTAACCACCAGACTAACGGCCCTCCTGCAGATTCACGTCACTGTGGGATGAGCCTCTGGTCTGGAAAAGGCTTCTCACAGAGTTGTTTACCCCAGAAAAATCACCTCATCCTGAACATTATGGTTTTGTTTTTCTTGGTTTTCCTGCTCGACAGTAGGTTGTACAGACAGGAAAATGTCAGTGGTTTTGTTTGTTGGGTGGGTTGCTGTTTTGGGGTTGTTTTTTTGGCCGGTAACAGAATTAACTACTTAAGGTTGAGGATTTCAGTTTTATTTTACTATGAAAACATATTTTTTTTTAAGCCCACAGTCAGTCTTCTGGGAGGAAAAAGCTCCATCCCAGCATGGTTATGGTCTGCCATGCCAGACTCTTAACTGCATGTAGAAATAGCTTCAAGTGGTATTAACAGGGTCAAAGCAGTGATGTGGCTGTATCACTGCAGTTTTATAAGTGAATCATGTTACCTGAATGTCTTTAATCCTTTTGGACTTCCAAACCCACTAGGGCTTTGAAGACAAACATCAAATCATGTCCTTTCAGCACAAGTATGGTCCTTCTTGCCCTCTCAGCCTCCTGTATCCATATACATGGTCTGAATAGCCTGTTCTTTGTGACAGTAGAGATATTTTAGTAGTATGATGACAGTAATTGTGGAGGACTTGAGCTATGGCTGCAGTTACTTGGTGGGTTATTGCATGTGTTGGTCCCCTAGTGAAAGGGAGAAATCTGGGGAGAGGAGAGGCAAAACACCCCTTAGTACAGACAAATCCCTTGCAACCCCATGAGGGAGAAGAAAGGAGGCCAGCCTGGCTCCAGGGTTATGGGAATTGCTGTGAAAGAAGAAAGTATTTGAGACCTAAATGGTCTTTTATGTTATTAAGTGCATTTGTAGCTCTTAGAAATAAAAAGACCTGTTGAATGGTGTAATCAAAGGGAGAAGAAGACCCATCTGCAGCCTGTCAGGGCTCAAATCTCAGCTCTTGAGACAAAAATACTGTTCTCAGAATAAAAACCTTCTCTTGTAAAGTGCAGTTATGTTTCTGTCTTTCCTTTCACTGGTTTTCCTGGCCAGTTCTCCATTGAATCAAGTCTTTAACCCTCAGTTCCTCACTATGTATTTTGCTAGTTTCACGTGCCTTTTGAGTGGAATGTGTAACGTATTCCATCGTTACATGTTTGTTTGTTCCATGCCTTTATGCCTGTTATTTATGCCTTCATATTAGGGAAGAATCATGACCAAGATGAACTGCATCCTGGTGACCGCCTGCATTGTCCTGATTGCTTTTTGTACTTCTGGTGAGTACAAGGGAGCTACTTTCCTGATGTAACGTTGTTACAGGGGCTGAGGAAATCATGGAAAAAATAAACAGGGCAGCCTGGATCATTTAATACGGCTTTGGGCAATGACAGTAACTGTCAAAGTAGGGCTTAGTTTCTGTTGCTGGGTGTCTTTGGTCAGAAGAGAGAATCAGGTGCTGAATATCTTGCTGCTTAATATGGCAGCAGACCATTGTTTTGCAGCTGGAGGGGTCAGTTCCTGTTGTGTGTGTTGAAAATGTGGTGTATGGCAGGAGAGAAATGAGGTGGAATAAAAAAGGGATAGAATAAAGCTGCTGGAAGTGTCTCCTGTCTGTCCTTTTGGAAAAGGCAGGATTTAAGAGTAGATAAAAGAAGCAAATACATTGCTCTGCAGGCACATGAAGGTAAGTGAGTTTAAAGATGATGTAAGTGCAGGCTTCAAAAATCTTCCTTTCAGAACTGCCAGTCTCATTTGTACACTGACGAAAGCTGGTGAATTTTAGCTTAAGCCTTGGGTTTAACAACCAGGCATACGTTTTGTGACAGATGCAGAGAGTGATTATTCTCTTTTCCCTTTTTAATGCTGCTGCAGTCTCAGTCCTTCATTATTCAGTAAAGGTAAACCCTTGTCTCCTTAGGTTATGCCTTAAGGTGTTACCACTGCGAGAACAGCCCTTCCTTGTGCAAGACCAATAGTACTTGCTTAGCAACTGAAGATACTTGCTTGCAGATGAAATTCGGTATGTATCCTGCAGCCCTAAAATAAACATGGTTATATCAGTTTTCATTGCCTCTATGCTTCTAATCTGGCCTTAGCACGCATTTCTTATCCTTGCTCAAAAGATGGTTGTGAATGTTTTTGAGGGTCATGCTTATATCCAAGCAACTGATAAATAAGATGATGATTTAGCTGATTTATACTTGGACAGGCATATACAAGGATAGCTTTATATCCAGAATTAAAACAAAACTACAAAACAAACCATGGGGAAGATGGTCAAGGATATTCGGGGTGTAGAGTTAATGTTCTTGTTAAATAACATTTCAGTAGCTCTTTTACTGCCAGTGACAGGAGTTTCATTGGAAAAATGGAAGTACCAAGTCAAGTGCAATAATCTCTTGCTTCCCAAACTGGTTTCCTCTGCTCTAGAAAGATGCTTGGCTGGCTTTGGACAGTGGGAGTCAGTATGGAATGGGACTGCTCCATTCCCTGGGATGGTCCCTGGTAAGGCTCATGACTTGGCATTGAGAAAGGAAGATTCTAATGTGCCTGGACCAGGATGCTGCTCCGTGCTGCTTGCAACCTAAGAGATTTTCTCTTTTTGCTGTTTCCCGTGAGCTCAATCTGTTTTCTAGCACTCAGCCTGTCCGTTGTTGGAGTCACGAGTTGTGTACTTGAGGTGTCAAGCTGGGGGAGATGGAAGATGAGCTGCTTGATTTGTGGTGTCCAGGGAAATGAGTGAGAAAGGCGAGGACTCTTCAAGCTCTCTCTTCACATATTGCTTCTGGAAATAGCACTGCTCAGATCCGATGGGATTTGTTTTCAGAACAAAAACTAACTTGAGTTATTGAGCTTTGTGGAGGGAGAATGGCCATGCTGTAGGACAATGCAAGAACAGTGCAAGTTGAGCTAGATGGTGATGCACTGTCCATCTCTGTCAGGAGCCCCAGAGCAGGCATCACTCAAACTCCCCCTGTATCACCCAGCTGGTCATTTGGGCTGAATTGGAAGCACTGGTTAGCTTGAGGTAGAAATCTTTCTTAACCTATGGCTAAAAGATATCTGAGAGGCAGAACCATGCAGTTGTAGGCAGTGATTCTCTGTCCCAAACCCACTATTGCTTTCAATATTCTTTTAATCTGTTTAATTTCTTTTGTAGGTAAATTGAGAACCTCCTCCTGCTGGAAGGCATCCCAGTGCAGTATGAATGATATTGCTGAGTTCTTCCAGTTGGATAATTTTGATTTCTTTTGCTGCCAACACGACTTGTGCAATGAGAGTGCAATTCCTGGGCTTAACAAAGCAGCCTTCAGTATTGCCTCTGTACTGACCATGTTCTGGATGCTCCTGTAACAATCCTCATTTCTATGCTGTACTTTCAAGCTGAAATTACACTAAATCATTACTCTTTTCTGAATTGTACTTCTCACATTTGCAGTTCCTAACAGTGGGCAGAAATATTCCCTTTTAATTTTAAATGCTCTTTCCTAAGGTTCTATCTGTTAAATCATTGTCGTTATTCATGGGAAGGAGATTTAGCTTGTTACCAGTTACAATGAATTCAGGTATTTTGGCCTGCCCTATTCATGGGGGAAATAACTTGCTATGAAGTAGTGTTATCTTGTGGAGAGCCCTGGTCAACTTCAGTGGGTGATGTGAGAGGGAAGGAATACTCTTAAGTTTAATGCTGAAAAACTATTATTTCTTACCATCCCATAAATTGTAATTATTGCAGTGAATTTGCCCTCAGCACAAGAAGTGTTGGATCATTAAGTATAAACTTGCTTCGGTCTTCATGATGAGGATGGGAGTATTTAGTTTCAAGTGATATAGGCTCTTTGTTCCTGTCACTGTAATGTTTTTACAAGACAATGATACGACCTTGTGAGCACTGTTTATTTTGGGAGAAAGCATCTACATTTCTTAAACCAAAACGAAAATAATGCTGTAAGTGAGAAACACTCTTTTTCTATTTTGGCAAGCGTGCAGACAACATGTGCCAGCTTCTTTTTGAGTATTTTTTTTCCCCCTTATAGTTTATCCATGTCTAAGATTTTAAGTAAGCATGTGCTTTGCATGCTTATTGGTACACTGAAAATGATTTCTAAAATGCTAAGGAACTGAAGTGGCAGATCTAGTTTATTTTCCCCACACATAACCCTTCAAGCTCTCACCTAAGAGTACTAAACAAAACCTTGCAGAACTTTCTATTTTGACCTTTATGCAACACTATAAATGCCAATGCAAACTTGACATGTATTTATATAGCATGAATAAAACCCGTTCAGTTTGTATGTGTAAGGGGTCTGGAGCTGAAATACTCTGTACATTGCTCTGCCTCAGAGGTAGACACAGAGCTTTGACACTCCTCTGGTATTTAGGGACCCTCTCAGTCAGGTACACTGCTAGGTTCTCCTTTTTGTCTTCTGGAGCTCTTGGCATGTCCCTGCAGGAGTTGTGGTCCATTCCCAGTGAGATATTCTCTTCCCAAGGACCCCTGCTTGTGCTGTGCAGGGTGCCAGCAACACCAGTTCGCCATAACAAGGGTGTTACTCCAAATCCACAACGTATTCTGCAATGTATCTTTTGGTTAAGCTTCTGTTAGCTATGAAAGTATTCTGGGCTATCTCTGATCACTCAAAATACATAAGTCATACTGTCTTTGATTAATAAAAATGTGAAAAAAGAAAATGTGGAGAGCGTGGTTATTTGTCAGCATTTACAGCTATGTACAGGTGTGCTCAGTTTTGGTAGTGGTTATCTGCTTTAGGAGCTGCTTGATGGGAAAAGGGGTCATGGTTTTAAACTAAAAGAGGAGAGATGGATGCAGGCTGGATACAAGGAAGAAAGAAGGAAATAGTCCCTGATTTCCCATTCTTTTTGTCCTTACATCTTTTTAGTTCCATCTGGTTAACAAAAGCAGACCCTTAGAAGACAGTAAGTTGTGCACAGTGGCTTTTTCCACTAAGGCACCACCATTTGTCACTACCTCTTGTTCATTTGAGATGAAAAAGTGGTATTAAAGCACTGACTCAATATAGAGTTGGGGGGAGGTTTGTAGCAGAGAAGCTATCTTGTATTAGACGAGCTGATAAATTCCTTATGTTTAAACCATCCCAGTTGCACCACTTTTGCTCTATTATGTTGTCAATGTCTCTCTTCTGATGGTTGGCACTTTTAAACCTGTTTAATTGCATACGTAAAGTATTCTTTTTTCTTTTTAAGAAGGGCAAAAAGAAGCTCTATTTTGCCTCTGAGAATAGCTTGAATAGTTTTGGTATTTGGTTTTTGGTAGCCTTGAACACTTGTCTAATCTATCCTATTTCTCCTTCCTTTCTCTTCCAGAAGCAGCTTGAGCAATGAATCCTTGTAGTTTGCACTGTAGAAGGCCACTTCTTTTACAAAGATTAGTTGGAATGTTGTTTGATTCTCCTGGGGAGAATGCATGTGGCAAAGGAAAAGAATTTTTCTATGATAGCAAACAATTTCTAAAGAAATATGACTAGATTTCAAGTGGAAAAATATCCCTTGTGTCCCTCTCCTGGGAAAGGCAGATTAATTATGTAGGCTGAAACACATCTCATGCCATTTACAAGCTGAATGGTGATGCAGGGTTTCACGGTTTGCTATATATTTGTGTCTTCTGAGCCTGCATGGCTGCCTGGTGAGCTCTGTCCTGCAGAAAAAGCTGAACAGTGACTGCTGCTTGAACATTGGCACTTCTCCCAGGGTTGCTGTGTTACATCCAGATTTGATGGCTAGACCTCAGAGATGGGGAACCAGAGCCATCAAGACCTTAGATCAAACACAGTTCCATTTAGTGACAGTAAGACACTGTAGTACAGGGTACCAGGGGTCAATTCTACGTATTGGTATCACATCAGTGCAAATAGTGGTTTTGCTTTAGGTTTGCAAATGCTTTAAAGACAGCTCCAGCTTTGCTCTGAGCTACAAACAACCCTCATTAGGTTGTTAGAAATTTTCCTGTAGCAGTAACTGGTCATTTGTGTGTGTAGCCTTGGTCCAGTGTTGTGACTGTTCACTTATCTGTCCCTGTTCTGACAGTGATTTTTTCACTCTATATAACAGTGGGGCTAATGTGTATGATAATGTCTTGCCTCTTATTTATACCTAATTATAGCACTGGTTTTGGATGGACTGGAATTTCTCTCTTTTCTGGTTGTGACAATTAATTGCAAGAAATTGAAGGACTGGTGGGAAATCTCAGAATGCTGAGGCTGGAAGGGACCTCTGGAGGTATCTGGTCCAAACCCCTGGGCTCAGGGAGGGGATCTAAAGCCAATTATCCAGGGCCATGTCCAGGTGGCTTTTGAATATCCCAAAGTGCTGAGCTCAGGAGAAGGAACACTCCCTGACCCACTGGCAATACTTTACTTCATGCAGCCCAGGGTACTGTTTGTCTTCCCTGCAGCAAGGGCACATTGCTGGCTCATGTTTAATTTGGTGTTCACCAGGATACTTTTCTGCAAAGCAGCTTTCCAGCTGGTCAGCCCCTAGGATGTGCCACTGCCTGGGTCATTCCCAGTCTTTGGAGTGGGTGTCATAAAATGGCGCTTGAACCCCAGGGACTCCCAGGTTTAGGTCATCCTCACTGGGACATGCCAGGGGTTTTGTGTGGTTTAACTGTGTCCTGCAAGCTACAGGATAATGCAAAATATCTTCAAGGTGAACTGCTGCTATGGAAGTGTGTTTGTCTCTCTGCAGTGAGTGCTGGGTAACTTGCCACTATTGTGTGGGTTTGGCTTTTAGTTTGTTTTGTAATTATGTAAATGATGTGCTCTGCTTTGAATTAGTGGCATGACTAAGACCTCATCCTTAGCTCTGTACCTTTGAGCATGCTTTTTTTGCCAACACACATAATTTATACACTAATGCCCATCTAATTAGCAAAGACTCTTAATCAGGGACTCTTCATCAAGAACTTTAGTGATAGGACAAAGGGTAATGGTTTTAAGCTTAAACAGGGGAAGTTCAGGTTAGATATAAGGAAGAAGTTCTATACCGTGAGGGTGCTCAGGCACTGGAACATGCTGCCCAAAGAAGCGGTAAATGCTCCGTCACTGGCAGTATTCAAGGCCAGGCTGGACAGAAACTTGGGCAACATGGTTTAAAAGTGTGAGGCATCCCCTTGGAACTACGTGATCTTAAGATCCTTTCCAACAGAAACCATTCTATGATTCTACGACTATTCTTCCCTGCATCTGCTTCTCAATATTCATTGCTCTGGTAACCACGAATCGCTTTTCTGGGGATGGGAGTGTGTGTGTGTGCAATTTAACAAAGGAGTTATTTTTCCCTATAGGAACAAGATGGACCCAGAAAATGTAAGCTGCAGTAGCAGCAAGCAGCATGTGCAGAAATTTGTTCTTGTGATCTGTCTTTGCCATTAATTCCTCCTTCAGTTTCTCATCCTGCTTTCTGCTTCTGCGTGGTGGTGACTGCAGGGAGCTGTCAGGTAGCTGTCAAGGTTGTCCTTTGACTTGAACTTGGGTGTGGAGAGCTTGGAAGCCTTGTGGTACTGGGGGGAATGTAGGGCTGATATACCTGGTTGGTAGGGATTTTGCTTTATCCTGTCTCAAGACCTTCTCACTCATCAAACTAAGGTGGGATGGCTCTGCTATTTCAGGATTCAGGAAATTGTGAAAAGAAGCAGATGCATGGGAAAAAACAGATAAGAAGAGCAAGCAATTTCCTCCCACTGCTTGTTGCAGTGAGAGGAAGGAGGAGGCTGACCAGCAAGAAGCTTTTATTTTGTCAAAAGAAGGAGGAATTGCTAACATAATAAAGTAGTCCCAACAGAGAACTGCATGTTAAGTAAGTCACTATTGCACTAACTGAGGCATCTGGATACTGCTGTTACCTAATATTAAATGCAGTGTTGCTCCAGCTGGAAGAGAGTTTGATGTGTCTGGATCTCTACATGTCCAAGGGGCTTGGATCTAGGGTTGGCTTCATAGCAGGAAAGTTAGGCTGCAGTCTGGGCCTATACATCCAAGCCAGTGTTATCTGTAAGAGACCCACGTGTTTGGGCAGAAACTAGTACTCTGCTTACTGACCTGATAAAACAATGTCAGGGTTGCACTAGTGGGACATTCTGCATTTAAGGAAGGGAGAAGAAAGCATCTAACTGGCTGTGGTATCTCTGGAAGAAGCAGGTTGTCATTTCCACTCTCATCTTTCCAAGAATAATTTATACATTGGGATAAAATAAAGACCTGCAGATGATATTATCTCTATGGGTTTATATGCTGTATCTCTTATTGTCATATGACAATTTACAGCCTCGATAGAACTGTTTTGGAGCCTAAGAAAGGGAAAGCTGAAACATGTTTTTGATTTCTTTCACTTTAGTGGAATGAATGAAGAAAAATGTTTGGAGCAATGTTTCAGAAAAGAAAGCTTTCTGAAAGGTGAAACTAATGCTGGAGAGTCAATTAAGATGATGATACAGGTGCAAACATGAAGCAACAGAGATCTAAACACAGCATGTTCCCTCAGGCAACTCTGTATGCACATCCCCATACAGGAGAGCTAAAAATTCTGTAATCCTTGCCTCCTGCAGACCACAGGGCAGGCTCCACTCAGAGACCAATCTTTTATGTGTAAGCCTTCTATATTGATGTCTTTTTGCATCCACCTTCTGCTTCTGCTGCTCTTGGTTTTAGCTCAAAGCCCCAGGTATTTATTTGGCCGTGGGTGAGGACAGCTGTGCTGTAACAGTTGTTACCAGAATTTCAGTACTGCAGATACACTGCAGAAAAATCTCTGCTCAGAAATGAAGGAGGAGGAAAAACTACCTGGATATAGACAGACTTACGGACTATTGCATCTGAACCCTCCATCCTGCATATGAACATTTCTACACGTGATCCAGTGTTGGTTCTATTTAAGTGATTAGGAATCTTGCACTGGTTTGGATGCTCTTGGAATTCAGATCCCAGCACCATTCTGAGTCAGCCGAGTTATTCATGGCATGCCACTGCTGTTCAGGAATAATAACTTCACCATTTCTCACTATAGAGGGCTGGTTTGATGCTTGATATAATTTAAAGCAGCCACCAGTTTGCTGGCTGAGGTTGAGAGTGAAGCACATTCGTTTCATTTTCTCCTTTCTGACAGCTATGCAGAGATGCTACTCCTCCAAACTGCAGGTTTGGAGGAAGAAAAATCAAGCTATGGATATACTGCAGGATAGGACTAAAATCATGAAGGTTACAGGTTGAGTAAATGAAGGTTGTGGTCAGATGTACTCTGGTATTTGGAGACCACTGCAAACCTAAATTGACTGAAGCAAGAAATAATCAAATGTGACTGTCTACCTTGTGTTCTGCTGGATGCATGAGGAGTACTAATCAGGGAGTGTAGTAATGAGAATATTGGCTTAAGTTTCCTTTGGGTTTCATTAAAATGCACAATATTTTTGACTCACTACCTTGCCCAACAGTGTCTTGAGGGTGCACCATTTGCATGAGTCCCAAAGAAACCTTTATTCTCATGAGCGCTCTGTGACACATTCAAGCCTGTAGTGCTGTAGTTCGTTTCAGACTCCTATTTCCAGAGATGCTAATGTCTTCCAGAGGACTTCAGGCACCCATCATCATCATCTGTCATATTCCTAAACAGTGAAGGCACAGATGAGAACACACACAATGCGGTACAATCATTTAGCTCAAATCTGAAATGAATAGAGGTAGTCTGCAGCATTGCACCAGGACAAGATTAAAGTGATTAAAACGATAACTGCGTCTTGAAATCTAATCAGTTTTAAAGTCTGATGGGCTGCTTCCTTCCTGTTCCCAGTCATTGTAATGTTGCGGTCTCCTGTAAATTAAGACTTATTCTCTGTTCCATGTGCTATAGGATGAACTGGTGCGTGTCTGGTAAATGCTGGGGCTGCAGCTGGGGCTCACCAGAAACCAGACAGTGCCAGATGCTGCTAGAAAGCTGCAGTTTGCACGCAGAAAAAGGACTATCTAAGCTATTATACAAGGCAAAATACAAAAGCTGCTGCTGTCAGACACAATGTGCTGCTTGATTGCTACTTACAAGTATGTTCTACCTGACAGAAAGTTGAAGGTGGTTTCTTTTTTTTTTCTGTCTAGAAAAAGGATTTTCAATCCATTCCTCTCCCTGAAAGCAAGATCAATATAACTATTGTTATGAAAATTCCCCTCCCTAACTATACAGCAGCCAGCCTGGGTAGCATGAAAGTGTTTTAACTCTGTCAATCTATATATTAGTTCACAGTATACACTGCAATGTAACGAGGTAGTGGAATTTTACTGGAGACTTTGGCATTGTTCATGTGTGAGTATAACAAACTAAAGGACAGCCTGGCCCTGGGAAGAAGGACTTTGCTTCTCGGAAGCTTAAAGCTATCCACGAAGGATAAAAGACACCCTTGAACAACCATGATAACGCCAGCATCCTGTTGTAGTTGAACAGTTGAGGGGTAGAAGGACCCTGTGTAGAACCACATCGGGGCTGGGGCAGTTTGGTGGGGACACCTTATAGACATCAACATTATACACATTACCTTTGGATTTCTCTGTGTTCCGGCCTGGCTTCCCTCCATTGTCACAGGCCAGTTGTCACGTTATGGGCACCTTGGTGACCACGAGTGTCCTTGAAGACCGCCACTGAATAAAATCCCTTCTCTCTATAGGAAACGTATCAGAGGGCTTTGCTTTTCCCTCATGTTTCACTTCCTTGCTGCGATCTAAGTCTGCTGCGATCGTATCCCCGCACACACGGAATGCGTTCTGGTCCTTTCTGCAGGGTCACCCTTCTCCTTTGGAATTCTCCATCCAGCTGGGAGCGTACAACGGGCTCATCCAGCCTTTCCTCGAGCCCTCTGTTTGCTTCCACTGAATAATCACCTTTATCTCTTTTTTTTTTGCCTCAGGGATGATTTTTTACCTCAGGTAACATTTTTTTTTGGTTCACTTCACTTGCCAAGATGACATTTGGAGCAGTTTGCGGTCCAATGTACTTAAAAACACGTAGGCTTTTGCTGAGAGGACCGAGAGGTGTTCACCACCTCTGAGGGGCCGGGGCCGGAGCTGAAGGCGGACGGGGGAAGTCGGGAGGGCAACAGGGAGGGAAACCGGGAAGGGATCAGGGAAAGGACCAGGGGAATGAGGCTGCTGCCGGCCGGTCCTCCCCGCCGCCAGGGGGCACTGGCGCCGCCGTGCGACGTCTCCCTCCGGGGCGTGGCGGAGGCTGAGGGGGCCGTGCTGAGGAAGCGGCGGTGGTGGTGACCGGCTGCGGTTCGCAGGGCCCGGCGGCCCCGCCGCTCCCCCGCAGGTGAGTGTGGCCGATGGGGTCCGCTCCGTTGGGCTTCGTTCCCTTCTCGCCGCCTGCAGGCTCTGCTGGGTCTCGGCGAAGGGTGCCGCACCTGTACGGGCGCGTCCCCGCCTTCCGGGGGGGCGGCCGTGGTCCCTTGGGCCGCTGGCTTTGCAGGCCGTGTCCGAGGAGGGTGGCTCCCGGCCAGCCCGGTCGCTGATGTGGGGCTCTCCCTGCCGTCTGCCCTCGTCTGAAGTGGACGGAAAGGTGGTCACCCTCCCTTCCCCCCGTGGGGCTTGCTGTGCTGGAGGGGAAGGAAGGGTCTGGGGGTGTTTGTGCACCTCCAGTCCCAGGCTGCTGGTAGCGCCGTACTGCAGGAGCAGCTGCATCCGGCTGCTGTGGTGGAAATAGCTAATGCTGTGTACATGCACCTGTGCTTCACTGGGGCCTCTGCACTGATCCTTTAATTCTCCAGTGGTGCCCTGTTACAGAATAGTACTTCCCTTGCATGTTATTTTGAGAGGAAAATGTGGTCAATGTTATTAAGAAATAGTGTCTGTAATAAACATAATAGCTATACAAATACATTGCATGTTAACTTTACAGAGTGCATGGAGAGCTCATAGCAGCCTTCCAGTATCTGAAGGGTGTCTTCAGGGATGCCAGAGAGGGACTCCTCATCAGGAACTGTAGTGATAGGACAAGGGGTGATGGGTTTGAACTGAAACAGGGGAGATTTAGGTTTGATATAAGGAAGAAGTTCTTCCCTATGAGGGTGCTGAGGCACTGGCACAGGATGCCAAGAGAAGCTGTGGCTGCCCCATCCCTGGCAGTGTTCGAGGCCAGGTTGGACACAGGGGCTTGGAGCAATCTGGTCTAGTGGAAGGTGTCCCTGCCCGTGGCAGGGGTTGGAACTGGATGAGCTTTTAGGCCTTTTCCAACTCAAACCATTCTGTGGTTCTGTGATTTACGTGGCTTCAGTCAGTGTTTGTGCTTCTTTGTTGTATGTCATGTTAGTGCAGCTCTTGTGTTGGTGTAGGTGGCATAGCCCATTTGAAAACAGCTTTAGCTTATTCAGGAAAAAGAACCAACATCTTGGCAAGCCATCAGATAAGGATAAAATAAAAAAAATTACAGATAGAAAAAGAAAATAATATTCAAATGCTGTTCTGTCAATGAGTGTGTTCAAAGCACAAAAATGTTGTAGGAAATAGTTAAAATAATAAAGCACTGAAGTTTTTACACACTTCTGCAGTCTCCTCTGTTTTTGTGCTCTAGTTCTGTGGAAGAGAGAAGAAAAGGGGTGCACTACTGCCTTCCTTGGTAGTAAGGGGTGGGGTTCTGCCTTAGTTTTTTACCCCATAATCTGTGTTTCTGCAAAGGAAGAAGAAAAGTTCCGTAATAGCTTCATAGTGAGAACTCAGATGTGTGCTCTTTGAAGCCACTTTTTTATGTCAGAATGATTTTGGAATGGATGTGGGGAAAGCTAGAGAAACATGAGGAGTTCTGTGGCACCAGCAGACTGTTTCTCTGCCTGGGTAGTCATCTCGGTTTGTATTTGTAAGAGCACAGTTCGTTATTTTACCATGTACATTGGCCACCCTCCAGCTGTGGGATTCTTCAGTGCTGCTGCTGAAATCTGTCCTCTCTGCTGTTATGTGCCCCTTGTGCTGGTTCCTGTGATATCTGACTCAGGGAAGTAAGGAGGCTGGAAACTACCCAGATGAATAATGCATGGTTAGTTTTTTTTAGCTGCATTTGGCTGCAGCTACTGCTGGGACAACAGAATGGGCAAGTACGAAGGCAAAGCTGCCAGGGGGACTTTTCTTTTTGTTAAATCCATTGTGGTAAGAACCAAAACCTCACTTGTACTTTGAGTATCAGAAGAAACTTATTTCATAAAACTAAGCGGGCCTCTTGTGTCTCTTGGATATTGTGAAAGAGTCAACCATCCTGCCTGTTCTTCAGTGAAGAAGATGTTAACAGACGTGAGCGTGCAGTGGATGGCAAAGAATGGTTATCAACACAGTAGAATATGCAGGATGGAGAGCAGGATGAGGTGCTAGCAGTGATAAGCAACGTCAAGCCCTGGAAGTGAGAGCGAGCAGTTTGGACTTGGAGGGGAAATACAAATTTTCTGTCACTGTGAAAACTTAAAGAGAGGTCAGCCACAAATTATTTGGACTTCCTGCTTTTCCTATGCTTGATGCCTGATAGTGCTATATCTGGGACGTAGGCTGCCAAAGGAAGGGAAATGGGGATGGAAAACTTAACTGAATTGTGTTTCGATGTACTGCAAGGAGAAGGGATCAAGTTGACTGGTTCAGCATTCAGAAGTAGCAGTTCAGGTATTCAGGTAGCACAAGAAGTGAGCAGAAGTGATTGCATCAGAGCTGGAAAGGAGCTAAAATAATTATAAATGAAATACAAATGCACCAGCACTTTACATTTAGTGAGTCATTTTGTCCTCTTTGTACCTGGGTAACTCTTTTATGTATCTGGAAATGAGCTTTTCACTAAGAACAGATTAGATGTTACAGCTTTGGAGTAGTTATGAGGGGATGTTTTTACTTAGAAGTTCTGTAATTCCCCCTGTGGCTTGTTTGTTGATTTTAATGTTAGACAAGATTCTTAGCAGAATCCAGTTTGGCCTTGTGGATAATGAAGGCCGTAGATTGCAGTCTTTTAGCTTTGAAATGATAAACAGCTTTAAAGGCAGCCTCTGCAATCATTCTGCATAATTTATAAGCTAAGCTATGTGCTAGTGTGTTTTATAAACTGCTTTCCAAATTCACTACTTTAAGATAAGCTATGTGTTAATGTTTGTAGCGATGTGTTAATGTTTGTTATAAACTGCTTTCCAAATCCATGACTGGTCTGTGTGTGCATATTTCAAAAGCCTGTAATACAGATTAGAAAGGAGATGGTGTTTACCTCTGGATGTTGCTAGTTGAGAGAGAAAATGACTGAACATCTTCATCCTGCTATTTGGAATATTATCTGGAAACCAAGCAAGATACCTCAGTCTGTTCTTAAAATTATACCTCCAAGTCACAATGTGGAATTTACTGCATGGGATGTTCTATAGACTTTTCCTGTTTTTCTCAACTAAATTTGTCACTTTATTCAGTAAAGGTCTAAACCTTTGAGCTGCCTTGTACCTACTTGATCTTTAGGATTAATAAACACAGCCCATACTTGTGTTTATTAGGAAGCTGCAACTTTCCATAGTCAGAAACTGCAATTATGTAGACGTATGTCTGGTACTTGGGTGCCTTTTAGAAGTTTATGGTGCTTGATTGGGAGCAAAAGAAGCAAGGAACACTTGGGGATTAAGATGGAGGCATTTTATACCTGATCAATGACATCAAGGGTTTCAGATATGCAGCAGTCACACGGCAGTTGAAGCACTTTGGTTTTCAATGCCTTTAGTCTTTATGTATGATTTTATAGAAATATGCATTGATAAACCCCTGTTATATTGCAGTGGCAGGCAGTGTGTGAGGTCAGGTTAAATATTAGCAAGCTGTATGTCGTTTGTATCTTCTATTTATATGTGGGAAAAGCAACTATGCTGAAAATACTTTATGGCATTTGCTCTTTAAAGACTTCTTAGGATTCTTTTTGATAGTATTGACATTTTACTGATTAGCAGTTGTTTTATACATGATTTCAGCATTTCTCAACAACTAATAATATGATGGAGATCAGAGATGGTCAGAATTAAGCAAACAGATCAGTTTCAAGCATTTCACAGTGAAATATGTAGAGAGAAATACAAGTTAATTGCAGTTATCTGAGAATCACTGATACTTACTGTGGTATTATTTCATTTATGTTTTCATAGCCATCCTGAAACTATGTGGAAATGGGGTAGTGGAGATGATTCTCCTTCCAAAACAGTAGTAAGTATCAAATTATTATTAAAATAGTACTTTCTTAAGAATGTCTAACATAGAGAATCTTTACTTGTTGATACACTAATGGCGTGTACTTGCTCTTTCACAAGTAAGTTGCTTAACTAGTTTTACTGTGACTCAGTTTTAGGGCTCTAAAAGTCAGGTTGGGTTCTTGCTTGCTGTTTACGTGGTATTTAATCTTCTGTGTGTAACACAGCTGCTCTATTCCTCTTTATGCTTATCTTCCTTTAAGAAAACATCTGTAGGAATTACATAAGCTTTATCCCAAGGGTATTTTTTGGGTAAGAAATCCAGTTTTAAATACCTGGGAAGCTTTAATGGTTTTGCTGTATTTCAAAGTAATATTCCTAAACCAGTTTCTAAGATTTATAATCTTATGTCTATCAAACTTGCTAAACTTGGTGTAGGTTCATATAGTACATGTAAGTTTTAGTCTTGCACTCTAATAACGTTTACTGAATGTTTAAACACCCCCAAAGCAACACCAACTGCAGACTTTTTTGCAGGACCAGTGTTGTCTGCACCATTTTGTTTGCTCAAACTGTACTTGATGTCAGCAGGCTGCAGGCTCACAAGATGCAGGAAGCATGTCAGTGACAGATTTGACTGACCAGCTGACAAGTACTGAACAGCTGGTAACACAGCTAAAGGAGCTTGTCAAGGAGAAGGATGCTGAGCTTCGAAATAAAGATCTTCAGTTAAAGGTACCCTGCATGTATTCTTGCCAAAAAAAACTGTTTACAAACCCCCTTTGTTCCTGTTTATCATGAGCTGTTTTCATAGAGACAAGCTTTTAGTCAGTTATGACAACTCTAGGAACACAAGGAGCACAACTCTAGGAACACAGATGTGACAAATTAGTCACAGTAGCTGCTATGGTTCCTGAACATCACTGCTTTTTTCCAGTGTGTCTTCTGTTTCAAAATTGTAACTGCATTTGGGTATTATATTACAATGTGTGTTCCTTGCATGAACAGATGGACTTAATCATTGCAAGGGACACGCTGACTTTCCGAGAGCTAGAGGTGTATGGTCATTTTAGCTAAATATGGGGAAACCCACAGTCTAAATCATTACTGGGCGTTTAGTGAGATGCCAACTTACCTAAAACTGGATTTCTGTAGGTAATTTTTTATTTCTTCTTCCATAATATATATCTATTTTGTCTTATAGTGATCTTACTATTCATGCTATTATGTATTATCCTCTGCTTTTGATTGGCATTAGGAAGGATGAAACTAGAAAGAGTTCATATTTAATATCCTGAAGACTTTTGAGGGTTTGTTATTCTTCACTCTGTTCTTTAAACAGTTAGAAGGTGGGTCTGTTCCTGCAGGAGACTTAGTTTTACACTTACAAAAAAATATCTTCTGTGGACACAAAAAGCAAAGTGTTAAAATACAGACTTTTCTAAAACTCATTGTAAATTAAGTTTACTCTTCAAACAAAATCAAATATGCTTTTATAATATTATGAATTAATTGTTCTTGTTAAAAAATCAAGCCCTGGATTTGTATTGCTGTCAAAAAATAAGAAGTTTTCTAACATCATAATGCTCTGGATCCCACACAATAATAATAACCATGCGCAGAAAGCTTAAATAGTGAAAGGAGGGTTGTTTCATATATGCAGACCTGTTGCATGTGGCATTAGAATATGTCTCTTCAGGGGAAAGAGTTTTTAGACTTTAGGTCTCTCTCTTACTGAAAGAGTTGAAGGATGCAGTTGTTTATGTAACTAATTAAGTCCTTGATGACTTTGATATTTGTAGGAGGAGAAGGAAGCTGCTGATGCCAAACTTTCCAAGTTAAAACTGCAAAACAAAGCCAAGGTTGCATCGTTAACTTCACAGTTGGAAGAACTTAAGAAACAGTTAGCAGTATCAGGAGGTTCTGAGGCAAAAGCAGAACAAAAGAAGGTAAGTGTCCTTATGTTTTAAAGCAGACATAGTTTAGGTAAGGCTGCAGGCAGTTTTATGTGCTGGACTCACATGAGGAACCCAAGTTCAGATTTTGAGCTGCGTCAGCTTAGGATCAGGGTTGGCTTTGTGGGTGCTGTCAGTCCATCTGTGTATTTCTATTTCATTCTTTTATCTTTCCGTAGAAATTTAGAAAACTGTACATTCCTTTCAAATTGTTTCAGTAAAATAACCTTCATCTTGGTGGCAGCTCAAAATCTTAACTCATGTGAATCAGAAAGATAAGTCTGTGGGAAGAAACAAAACGTATCTTGTTACTGTAATGTCCAAGATAAAAATGGAAATACGTGTCCTTGGCAGCAAAATGTAAATTGTTGGAAGGTCTCATTTAAATGACCATTTTTTGTAGTAGTGCGGTTGTGTGTGTAGACTTGTATTTCTTTAACATGGCACTTTTTAACTACATACAGCCTCTAAAATAACTTCAGTGAGGCTTTACTATTTCTAGGGGGTTTTAAAGGTGTGTTGAAAGGGAACAGAAATGGATCAGTTTGAAGTCTTCAAGTGTACTCAAAAGAGAGTATGTTACTTTGCTAATAAAGCGTGCTCTTAGCAACTGTACTTGATTTCTTTTGTAATGGCAAATATTTTCTGTAACCCAGTAGTTATACCTACTGAAACTCTGATTAGAAGCGCTGTTCCTAGGAACAGTTTAATTTACACTTTGTTCCCCCAAATAATCCTTTTTTCCCTCTGAGTTATATGGACTAAGCAGGTTATACGGATTGTAATTTCTAGAGGAAATAAAAGCTATTTTTGCATGTCCCAGGCTACTTTGAAGCAATAACTATCATTGATAATTGAAATACAAAGGTTTTTACAAGTTTGATACAAATTTCATTCCTGATACATCGCTTCTATATAGAATATGTAATATGTAGGAGAACTGAAACACAAACCATAAGTACACTTTTTCTCACCAGTATTTTCTGAATAGGTAGAGGTACAGAAGTCAGGTGTTACGTACTTACGGAATACAAACCTCCCTGTTTTTGCAGGTGTCAAAAGATGGTGACCCGGAAAATGCAGCAGCAAATCGAGGGAAGATATTAGTACTGAGAAGGAGAATTGAAGAACTAGAATCTCAGATCACACAGAAAAATGAGGAGCTACAAAAAAAGGTGGTGTTTTAGGTGATGCCAAGTGTGTGGCTTTTCACATCTGTGCTATGGAATTATGTTTCAATATATTTTTTTAAATATTTAGTTCTGTGTTAAGTTACTAAACAGATAACCTTGAGTTTTCTGTTGAGTAGACAGAGATGTTTATACACTGCAACCTGCCTGAGCAAAGGCAGTGAGAATTCTGTCGCTGCATCTTCAGTGAGGAGAGAATCCTCAAGCATGCTTTTGTAATCATATGAAAACGAATAGAATAGGAAACACAAATGCAAACTTTGTGGGTTAATGTTATATTTATGCTGTTTTGCTTCAGTTCTTGTTGCAATAGTAAGTTATAACAGGAAGAAATGTAGGCAAGGGATGATTTCATGTGAAGGTTTGTAGCTGTTCTCTGCAGCGATGTGTTTTGTGGACATATGGCTGTTTGCTATAGAAAGTGGCAGGAATGTGAATGCTGCAGAATTTCAGAGAAATGGTCCAATAATTAAAGATTCCACTTAAAATTGAACTAGGTTCTAAATTTGATTATCATTTTTTCAGTACCCTAATAGAGGCGATAAGGAAGTAGCGCAAACTGTTCTCGTTTTCATTTTCAGAGTCTTGAGCTGGAGGCACAGCGATGTCGTGGGGCTGAAATGGATGCCATGCTGGCACAGAAGGAAAAGAAGTTAGCTGAAAGAGATGCTTACATCATTGATTTACAGACAGCGTGTGGATCAAGTGGTGTTACCAATGAAATTCTCTTTCCCAGTGAAGAATTGAAGGTATATTAGCAGCTCAAACATTAGATCTCCATAGATGTTTCAAGGAATCAGTGAATTCTGATCTGTTATACAGTGGATTCTTTTCTGAAGCCCAAGTCTTGTACAGTTATTCATGTGAATAAAAATTCTTTACTGATTATTTTCATTTATGTCAATATATATATTTATTTACTACTTCTGTCAGTACCATTCATACATGTTAGTATCAACTGCGGAATCTGCTGACAAAGTTCTTTCAAAGTAAAACCAAACTTGTTTAATGTTGCTTTAACTGAGGGAAGAGCTTCTGTATATTTTTTCTGGGTCCATTCTTCTAATGGTCTTTTGATTTGCATTCTAAAGAATCAGCTGGCTATTAAAGAGTCGTCACTACAAAGCATGCAGATTCTAGTTCAGAACCTTACCAAGAAGGTTGGAGACAGTGAAGAAAAATGTAGCTTGTTCCAGGAACAGATTGAGAGTCTTAAAAATATGCAGAGCAAAGAAAGAGAGCTTTTCCTGGGAAAAGAAGCCACGTATATGAATAATGTAAGTAAATGCACTGTAAAAATATTTACATTCTTTGGTGGAAGAAGTAGTAGCTTGGCTGTAATGTTTCTAGCTCAGGAGTTAAGAAATGCCAGTTTTAATTTTGGATGATTTTTGAGTGAAGATCGATATGGTATTCAGATGAAATGAGAATAAGGAACAGCAGATAGTTTGTGCTGATGATAATTCAACTTGAAAGTTTTGTGCAAGAAAGGAAATTAAGGATGTGGGTGGTGTTTGGACATGGAGGAACCTAGTGCGTACCAAAGTGAAATGGGTTGTGCAGAATTCCAGTTGAACAACCTCCAAACATCTCTTTCTCATATCTCAAGGTGCAAAAATGCACGCATGCAGTGGCTGGTAGTGGTTTTGGATTATTGCAGCCATTCTTGGCACAAATGGTTGTTTGACAGATGGCTTTCACTTGGTGCTGGGAGCTGTCTGGCACACTTCTTGGTATGAGATCATGGGAAAAAAATTGTTTTCCTCATGGTGGAGAAAGAGCTGAAGAAGTCTGGTATACTTAATGGGAAACTTTCTCTGGAAGTTAGCAGCTGATTGATATGGCAAGACAAACAATGACTTAATAAATAATACTTAAAAGGTGGAACTAGGGAGCATGTTATCCATACCTTTGTGTTACCACCTCTTCCAGCTCTCTTGGAAGCCAAATCTTGGATTTTAATGTGATATACATGATTCCTTAGTATTTGAGTTCTACCACATATGAAACTATTCACCTCAGTATGCTCCACATCATTTGATGTCTTGAGTTTATTTATCTATAACAAAAAACCTACTTCTGATGGTGAACATGACCACACCTGTTCAGCAGCACACAGGAAATTAAGTTTTAATACAGGAAAGAGAGAAAAAGACAAGCAGCTGACACTGTAAAAGCCATTTCGCGAGCACAGTTTCATCCTTCTGATATAAATCTGGTACGACTTTACGTGAACTTATTCAAAATGTCATTAGTGAGATTCCAAAAGTTATATACAGTTCTCATGAAAGTTTTAAGATGGACAAAGACATGTTGGAAGTAGAATACAGGTTTTGAAAAGGAGACAGCAAGGTTTCGAAACTGCTGTTTGGCCTTAGTCAACAGAAACTCGCTAGAAATAAGCATCATCATTGTAATCTTTTAGAAATTAGAAGTCTGAGGACAGTGGCATCCAAAAAAGAAAGGTGGAGATCTGTGATACTAAACAAAAATGAATGGTACCAAGTGTATTATTGTGGAATTGAGACAAGTTTTCTGTAAGCTGGAGGTTTATCTGCATGCACCACTGACATCACTAATCACTGACAGATCAGTATATTTGCAGTTAACTAGAAGCAAAATTTAGACTTAAAATAGAATGCATTATCTTGCTGTACCTTTAGTTAGACAATTCAGCGTACTTTTACTATCCCTTTTAGACTGTTTCCGTATTTACTTTCTCTGTTTTTTTAGGTACGTGTGTGTCAATATATTATCCAGGAAAAGGAAAAGGAACTGCAGGCACAGAGAGAAAAGCATGAGCAGGAGCTCTTTAAATTGGCTGCTAAATGTGACGCAAGTGCTGACCTAGAACAGGTATGTTGCTTTGGAAACTCAATAGCTTGCTTTGATTTAGTTATACATGGCAAATTGAAATCATGTAATTACTAACCTCTGCAGCACAGTTCTGATCTCTGCTTGGGAAAATAAAGGTAAGTCTTTTTCCTTTGAAAGTTTTAACTCCGTTGATTGTTTGATTGTATTTTGTTTCGCTAGCTACTAAAAGCCTTGAAACAGAAGCTCCATGAAAAGGAAGAAGTCATGCTGGGAAGGACACAAGTGATAGATGTCTTGCAGAAAGAATTGGATGCCAAGGACCAGCAATTGAAAGTAAGAAATAGAATCATAAAATCACAGAATGGTTTGGGTTGGGAAGGACCATAAGATAATCTAATTCCACCGTCCCTGCCACAGGCAGGGATGCCTTCCACTAGACCAGGTTGCTCCAAGCCATGTCTGACCTGGCCTTGGAACACTGCCAGGGATGGGGCACTCACAACTTCCTTTGGAAGCTTGAGCCAGTGCCTCACCACTCTTGCAACTGAGAATTTCTTCTTTATATCTAACGTCAGTTTAAACCCATTCCTCCTTGTTCTAACACTTCAGCCCCTGATGAAGAGTCCCTCTCTGTCATCCTTGTAGCCCCTTTCAGATACTGGAGGCTGCTGTGAGGTCTCCCCAGAGCCTTCTCTTCTCCAGGCTGAACAGCTCCAGTTTTCTCAGCCTGTCTCTGTATGAGAGTGCTCCACCCCACTTATCATCCTCATGGCCTCCCCTGAACTAGCTTCAATAGTTCTATGCCCTTCTTATGCTGGGGACACCAGAACTATACACAGTACTCCAAGTGAGGTCTCAATAGTATAAGTGCAAAACTAAACTGATCAGGTCAGTTACAAGTTCACAAAGCTGTTTGGTTGTGCACAAAAGATAGTTTTACATAAAATATTTAGGCAGCTCTTTGGAGGCCTTGGCATGTGCTAATAACAGCTATAGCTGTGCAAGCAGATATGAATTCCAGTTAGAAAATCAGTGTAAAGGAGAAGAAAAGCCCATAAAATATGAAACTGGAAACTCTCACCCAAGTTTGTCTTGATTAGTTTTGGGAACTTGCCATGTAGGGAAGACTTTTACTGTCAAAAGCTTTTGGGTTCTCTAGAGACTGCAGCAGCCCCAAAAGTGAGGTTTAATTTTCCCCCTCCCAAAGAGTGTTTTGCTACTTGTTTATCTTTCCTTTTGCTGTATTTCTACTAATTGCAAAAGCAACACCTATCAAAATTCTTTGTGTTTTAGTATCTAGCATGACCCCTGATTATAGCCTTTGAGTGCAGCTGCTCCAGTTCAACAGTATAGAAAAAGGACTTTGCAGTCACAGAGATAGGTATCTAGAGACTCTTTACTGGAACAGGCATGTTATAGCCTGCCTGGGGTGCCAGGTCCAACATTTTAGCTATTTCCACCAAAATTTCAACTTCCCAAGCAGTTTTAACCATATTTTGGAAACATTCACTCTGCTGTTCTGCACAGCTTCTCTACTTGGACAGTTTATAATCCCAGGTTTATGTATCATGAAAGTGGTTTTTTGAACAGCAGGAGTGAGTGGCCTGTTCTTTTCCTACAGTGATCTTTTCTACCTCTTTATATGTTAGAATAACTGATCTAAAGGCACTAAAAGTAGAATAAGCACTAACAGAAAACTAGTTAGCAACAAAATATTGTAAAGGAGAACTAGATCAGTTTGCCAAATTTAATGGATATAGGTGACCATACGTGGGTCACCCTGTAGTGAGCATTCTTATCTTTGAGTTCACTGTTACAGGTCTGCTTTGGGGTTTGTTTGGGGATTTTTTTAAATATTCCATAGAAACAAAACTTTTTTGTTCCATTTTCATCTGTTGGGGTGATTGTATGTAGGTTGCTCTCAGTGCTGCCATTTTGCTGAAGTCCCCACTTCAGTCTTGGAAAGTCAAAGCTGAGTAGCAGAACTTTTGTAGTAGAGCCAGATTACCAGCAGTAGCCCTGATTTCTTATTATAGTCTATGTATGTATGACTGTATTGTAGCAGTACAGATGCAATATTTGACAGTAGTACTAAATGTATTTCTGTTTTAATATAAAAGTATTTTCTGTTTTTCTTCCTTTTTTTTCCCAGGAGATTAATGAAAACCTGAAACGTCTTCTGTCTGAAAAAGAAAACCTTCAGTCTAAACTGGATGCTGAGAAACACGTAATGAGAGCCCAGTTAAAAGACATGATGGAGAAACATGAGCTTGAAATGACAAAAGTTAAGGAGAAATATAATGCTGAACTGCATGAAATTCAAGAGAAACATGAAACGGAGCTGCAAGAGAAGGATCAGGCCCTGTTTCAGCTGAAGAAACAAGTGGAGGAGTTAAGTGGTAGTGGACAAACAAAGTCAAAAGAAGTTGGCGATCTGGAGTCTATAACCAAAGAGAAGATGAAAGATTTAGAAGGTATCCTATTTAAACAGTTATTGTACATGAAGGGTTCCTTTGCCCCTGTTTGCCAATTTTATACCTCTTGCAAGTAGAGCTACATTAAATTTAGTGGAAGAGATACTGCCACACTAATTAAAAGGTATCTCTGGTCAAATACTATAATCTTGACGGTTATAGGAACACTGAGATAATCACATGAACTATACATTTCTTACTGCATTTTTTATTGTTAATGTTTTTCTGTAAATGTAATTGTCTCATATAAGTGCGTAACTTCCAGTTGTTAAATAAATTAAATGTAGGCCTTTGTATTAATAACCTTTTTATGGTTTAAATAATTCTTTTCCATCTTGTTTCTTAGCACAAGTGAAATTGAAAACAGAAGAGGCCAGCAAATCTGAAGCAAAATTTCTGAAAATGAAAGCTTGGTCTAAATCAAAAATCAAACAACTGGAGGATGAACTAAAAAATGTATGTGTAACATTATGGTTAATACTCCATGGCTGTTTTAAACTATTGTGCTTGGAGATTTGACTGAAAGAAGTAAAATATGGGGTAAATAGAGTATTAAAATAATTTATTTGAAGTATCTTTATATGTAAATTAGTGTATGAAAATTATATTGACATAAAATGTTGATACAGGGTGAAGTTTCAACAAAAATTAGTATAAACTGGTGTTCAAACCAGCATTCAGAAGTAGATCTATTAGAGATTAGCTGGTTTATTTCAAATATTGGAAACACAGCTATTCTAGTTGACTTTGCTGTGATTTTGGTGTTTGATGCATTTGAAAACTCGTAACTCTTTTTTCCTTTAGTTTTCATCAAAGAATAATGATGTGTCTGCCTTAAACAATCGTATCTCAGAATTAGAAACGGAAAATGAAGAACTCCAGACAAAGCTGCAGTCATTACATGAAATTAGAACTCAAAATGGTAAAAAAGAGTCTTTCTTTTGCAGATGACTAAAAGTAAAGAGACAAAGATAAATGAACTTTCTCATTTTCATTTTCAAAGCGTATCTTTTTTTGAAACAGATTCTGAAGTAACTTTATGCGACTTTGAACAGAAGCATAGAGTGTTTTAAGTCAGAGTTACAGCTCAGCTTTTCCTTCTCTAAATCTGCCTGTGCATGATTCTTGTTACATTTAGGCTTAGGCAGAATAGGTGGAAACTTTTCCAAAAAGTGGCAGAAGCACCTTCTTAGGAGGAAAAATGAGGCCAAACAGAGCTGGAAAATTTATCATAGTATATACAATACACTTCTGAGAGCAGTGAGTTAATATTAATATTATTAATATAATAAAAGATAATTAAGAATTATCTTTTCTTTTGTAAGGATTTGAGAGAGAATTTTTTCTTAAAACCTCAGTTTAAAGTAGAGCTCAGAGATATTTTTTTTCTGTTTCACTCTGCGTTTTCTCTGATGTCCTTTCTATAAATGGAAGGTGGTTGAATTTTCAGGTCACCAGTCTAAATTGCTAGCAGCTTAGATTTAAAGCTGTCATCAATATTTAATAATCAAGAAGACAGTATCATGGCTAGATGCATAATGCAGCCCAAGAGGTCATCTAATTCAAACAAATTATCATCTGAATTTTCATTTTGAATCTTTCATTTTATTTTTTATTTATTATTTTTGCATGCTAATAAACCAAATTTCTGATTTTTTTTTTTTTTTTTTTGTAGAAGAATTGCTGACTAAGCTGGAGGTCTATGAAGAGCAGCAAAGGAAGCTGCAAGCTGATCTTGACCAAGTTACAAAGAGGGCAGCTTCACAGGTTAACTTTAAAATTGATTTCTATGAGTTACTGATTCACTTGAACAGTGCTAATTAGACATTGAGAAGTGTGTGTGCTGGATTTTGGAGCTGAAAATGAATTTAGTGATGTATGGAACTGACTGTGTCAGTAGCTCTTCAGTTGGACAAGGTGACAGATTCTGAATTTCTTAAAATGAATGATTTCTACTTACTTTGCCATGTACCTTAAACTGCATTTTTTTCTAAGCAGTTTAGTTAGTTACATGTAACACAAATCATCAAACCATTGTTTTGTATACAATATGAATAGCTTTCAGGAGGAAATAATAGCTGTAGCCTGTTGATGAATGTATAGGCTTGGGTTTTTTCCAAATTTTATGGAAAAATTGGGGTTTCGTTTGGCAAAATCTTAACATAGTTTTTATTTTGATGGAAAGGCAGGAACATTTCTATTCTGTTCACAGGGGAAAAAGTTAATAGAGACTTTTTTATCCCTCATAAAGGCAATTGGATATTGCTTTACTTTGAAATATTGCTAAGATGATGATGTGCCATAAAAAATAATTTGATTTAAAAAGCCATTTTTGTTTAAAAATATGTGAGATTTTACAGATTGCTGAGGCTTGATTTTTACGTAACCTACAATAGCAATTGTCATCGCTGTCATAGATCTTTATGCAAAGTGGTTAATTGTAATGGATTGTTTTCTCTGTGAATGGTTTGCCAACTTCGATGTTATTTACATTTGCAGTGGGATTTGGTAAATATGTTTTTGTGCTCAATTTCTCTTGTTTAGGCCAGTGAATCAGGTAGTGTGGATGAGCTGCAGAGTCAGCTCTTGGAATGGCAAGAAAATGTACAAGAGTCGGAGGAGTCGCACGATCAAGTCAGGGAAGAGAAATCTGCTATGGCCTTGAGAATGGCTCAGATTGAGGAGGAGAGAGAAGGTGAATTGTTTTATATACAGTACAGTTACAATCTCTTTGTGTGTGCTGTAGTTCAGACTGAATTGATAGCAAACCACCACGCCTTAGTTCTATAGTCATAAGACTTGTATAGTGACTGAAATTGCTTAAATTTGCAATTTCTCCTTTTTCCTATTTCCTTGGATCTATGTTTTTTGTACATTTGTCTTTTTTGTATCATTTTTATGAGTAGATGCATTCATTCTGTTTGCCATCTGAGTTGCTGTTTTGTAAGACTGCTTGAACTTAACTGTGAACGCTTATTGTCTGCATACAAATGGTCAGTGATAAAAAGTTCACCCCTGAAATATTAAAGGTGCCTGCTTAGAACAACCCATGAAGGTGTGGGGAACCATATAGGCTTGGCTTGAATTTGATGAGTAGAGGTGGTGCTTTAGTAAAATGTACCTGAGATGGAGTTTCCCTTTAGGCATAATTAATGAGAAATCTTTCTTAGAGTATTTAGTAATCTGTTAGTAAGTGTCGCTTGTATAGGTCACCTGAATAACTGATAGTTGTTTGGATCTAAAGATATTAAATTGCCTACAGAAAATAAATAAGGTTTTATAGTTTTCTAAATTATTAATAAAACAATAATGAGAAAGTGAAGCAGCTTCTATTAAAACTTACAAAAGTCCGGATAATTTCAGATAGCTTTTACTGCTTTTTCCATGCCAACTGGTACTGTAATGTAATTTTTGTACTCTTAGTTAACTGTGTAGGAATTAATGGAAAATTTGAATGCACACAACCTACCATCGTAATTAATCCACTTAGTTAATTTGTGATTGAATCATTGTTCATTTACATGAACAATTTGGAAGTTCAGCATGGAAGCACAGAAAAGCTTTAAGGATCGCATCTCTTCCTTTTGAGGGATTTACATGTGTAATGCTTTGAAACGGAAAGAGAATAACACTCCTTTCATTAAAACAACCTGTTACCTCACCTGGAGTAACTGCAGCTCCACATGCAATTTTGATACCAGTTGTGGAACTTCATCTGTGTCAGTCCATGTTTGATTTTGTGTTTTTTTTTCCCCCTGGGATAAGCATGACCTTTCTGTTTCTTTTTTCCTGCCGTTGCACCTGATGAGCACTCAGCGTCCCTTCCCCCTCCACTCCTACCCTACACTGCGATTTGGTCAGCCAGTGAGAACAGAGTTTCCCATCAGTTTTGTGCATGCAGGTTCCTGCAGCAATGGCAACTTTTAATGTACTGTTGCTGATTTCTCCTGGTTTGGCTTCTTTGGAGGAAATTGCCAACAGTACCTTATAAGATTTGCCATTGATGGTATGTGGGTTTTAGCAATACATGTAACAAATGCTGGGTTTAACTTGATTTTTTTTCCTGCCTTGCAATACCTGTTTCTTCATTTATATTAACCGAATCATCTTCGTTTTCCTTTGTAGTAACAGCTGACTCCATATTTATGTTGTAACCTTATCTAGAGAAAAATTTCTTCACTTGCTACAAGTGGCTGTGACTAAGTAAGAAGCAAATTCATTTAAATGCTCTAAGTAGGACTTGAAATTCAGTAGCAGTTAACAAAAAACCAAAACCACAGTTATATTCCATCCCCTAAATTGCTGAACTTCGCATGCATTCATATTAGGCACCAACATTTTAAAACTGTAGAATCAACAACGTTGGAAAAGACCTTTAAGATCAGCAAGTCTAGCCTTTAAGCGACATATAAACCCACTATTCATTCCATCATAGTCTATGACAATTTGCCATATGTGGTCATTGTCTCTTTCGGGTTGAATGTGTGGGGAGCTGCAAAGGCATAGAGATTGACAGTATTGATTACACTTAAGACCAGGGCTTGTTTCTTCTGCAGACCACTAAAGATTATGATAATTAGTGTGAATAGGAACTAGAGACACAGCGTTAGTTAATTTAAATGTGTGTGCAGAAAGGTGTTCTGGGAAGCTTTTCATAATTTGCGCTAGATACAATTGCAATTGAAAAGCTCCCTGAGCTGTTGTAAAACATTAGAAAATATGTTTGCTTACTAATTGTTGATAAATTAATGCTAAATTTAACTGAAAGTGTTTTAATGCTTGCTTAGGTGTTCTAAGTAATTGTAAAGCTCTGGTTTCTCTACTTCGATTTTTCATGTGATTATGGTAATTTAATTCTTTTTTTCCTTATCAAATACTTAAAAGCCTAAATATTTTTGTGTTCCTGAAGGTCATTGTGTTATGCATTCTGATTATGCTTAAACCCAGACCACATCAAATTCCATGTCCAAGAATTTAATTTATTTCTTTTCCCCTCCAAAGGAGGGATTAAGTTCTTTCCTTGCTTCTTGATTTGCGTCACTGATTTCAGTGACAGCTCTTGTAAACAGAGATGTAAGGCTTGTGATCAACATTTGGCACTTATTTTCACACCTTTGAAGAAGTATGTATAAGAATTAAAGTTGTAAAATCTATACGGGAAAATAAACAAAGGTGTGTAACATGAATGCTGCTAAAGTGACAGTGCCAGAAGCCAAAGTGTGACTAAAACCAGAATTAAACCCCAATTTAACAGACCTGCTTTAAGAGGGTCATTAATTTTCTTTCTCTGTTTAACTTTTTTCCTCTAATCTCTTCTGACAACATGTTAAGTATGGAATTTAGAAATATTACAGGAAGAACTTTAATCTAGGAAGTGTTACTGAACTGCATGTTAGTGACATTATGGTATATGTCCAAGTACTCCTTGGACAACTCAGCTGGAAGTTGAGTGTTCCCAGTGGGGCTCAACCACCTCATTTCAGGTATTAGCCTCACAGATGCTTCAACATAGGTTCTCTGAATTTTGCATGCTGTGAGGACAACTGTGGATTGATGTGGTTAAATTGAAAGCTAAATGTGTAACTGTCTAATTAATCTAACTTTTAATTAAAGTATGGAGCCACCTTTGCTTTCACTTCTGTTTGCTGGCTGTTCTGTTTTGTCTGCTTTGCATGAAACATTTGTTCCAAATCTGTTGCCCCAAACATGTTTTGTCATATCACAAAACAGATGGGAATGTACTTGAAATGAAAAAATCATTTCTAACAATGGACAGGATGCATACCTAAGCTTTCATATTCTGAATTTATGCAGTGTGTTTATTTACAAGTGATTCTGTATTTGTCTTAAAAAGAATGGTATTACTAATCTGTGATAAAATGGTTTGATGCCAGTTTGCAGTGTAACACGTGCTTGTGACTTCCTCAGATAGCCTGGCTTTGTGGCTTGTACTAAAATCAAAGTTGGAAGGAACACGTCATTTCCATAAAACTCATTGTTCAGATTGTGAACTGCACAGCTGTTTCAGCTGATGCCTTTCTCATACAAATGAGGTATATTTTAACCTGGTAAATTGAAATGAGATGTAATATAGCACTTGAATTGGTTGGCATTTTTTTCTAGTATCAGTATAACCTCACCCTTTTTAGTCTTCTGTATAAAATCTTCATTTAGAGCTGACGAAGAACTAAGGTTAGGCTTCAGTTTGCTTCTTCTTAGTAAGACAAACTTTAGTTTTATGTTCTTTGTACTAATGTTGGAGAGAAATCACAAGGTAAATGCAGTGAATTGCTTCTTTAATCTTGTTCCTATCACTCATTCATAGGGACTTCAGCCTGTCCCTGGCCTCTCTTTTCATGTAGTAGTGTCTGATATAAATGTAATTGCATTCCTGTGGCACAAAACTGATTGAGGATGACTGGTTCTTTCCTGGCTGCTCTGATCCAGCCATAGTCTCAGGGGAACAGGAGCTGGAGGAGGAACTGACCACAGTTCAAGGAATGGGCAGGCTGCAGGAGGCAAGAAGAAAAAGCAATCAAACCAGCAGGGAGCTTCAGGTGGGTTAAAAGAGAGTTTATTTTTGCCTGTATGTTAATAAAAATATGCAAAGTACTGTTATTTGTATGGTGGTTTACACTTAAAACAGTAAGGACTTAACTTAGATTACTTACAGAACTGAAAACGTTGGTAATTTAATGATTGTAGCCAGACGTAGCAAGAAGGTAAGAAATTCCAGTGCATCACACGTCTCCATTCCATGAGTCTACTTAATTTTACACTGAAAACTAATGAGCTTCCCTCTGGAGTAATTCACTCCAATGCTTGAAGCTATGTGCATGATTAATATGTTAAGGCTGTCTTTGGTTAAGATACAATCTTTATGAATCTCTCTGTTGGTGGAGCTTTACTGAATAACTGTTGAGTAGTGTCACTTCATTCCAGTGTAATTCTGGGTACTTGGTGATGTAAGTTGCACAAAAAGGTGATAGTTCTTGTAAGAAAAATTTGATGTCATTGTCACATTAACATACCACTGGAAGTGTAATTTAATGTTTAGTTAAATCCAGTACTTTACTCTGAGATTCAGACAACCTATTAATTAGAAATCAGGGGACTAATTAAGGTATGCAGACATAGTTATTCATTGGCCTTTCAGATGCCTGAGGGTGTCTTCACAGGCCTGGCAGATACTACAAAAACCGGTGGAAGACTTGGCTTTTCTGGAAATAAAAGCTGGAAGCTGGGCAGGTTACTCCAGTGTCCACAGCAATCCCATGTACTTTTAAGCACCTGATTCACATGCTGAGTTTTAGGACAGGAGGATTGGAACTGAATGATCTTACGGTCCTTTCCAACCCAAACCATTCTGTGATTCTATAATGTGTATTTTACCCATGCTTCCTTTCTTCTTTAATTCAAACTTCATTCTCATGTTTCGTGCATAGGAAGAATACAACTTTGACAGAAAACAATGCTTTCAAGAATTGAACGCCACCTTGGATAGCACTGATTCAGCTGAAGGAGAAAACATGGGAGGTTGGTGGCCAGAGTACACTTCACCTAATGCAGGTGTGATAGAGACTAGACAGTTTATTAAAGCATGCACAGCATCTGTATTTTGTGTCTATTTTTGTTTTCAAATTCAACTAACAACCCATTTGTGGTGTATTCTAATCTTTGTGGAATTTTTTTGGCTTTCCTTTTCTGTTTCATTTTAAAGCATGTGCGTGCTGGATGAACTGCCTAGTTTTGGTTCAGAATTAGAATACACAACCACACACTGGAATTGGTTGAGCCTTGGTGCCTATGAAATACCCTCTGTGGCAAGATCATACATTTTTTAAGTTATGAGTCTTGTCCTGTGAATGTGTTTCCAGTTTACATCACAGTTGCGTTGCAAAGCAGAATTGTGTTCCATTGCTGTATGCTTTTAATTTAAAAGTCAAATTCTTATTTTTTTTAATGCTAATGTTTCCATATTGATGATAAAGGCTGCAAATATCTCTTATTAAAGTGTGATAGACTCACTTGATAGAGACCAGTTTGATTATCAATAATTGCTTAAGATCTGATCCTCTAATTACATGATTAACTTGAGATTAAAGGAACAGGAGCCACATGATTGATTGAGCCACAATATTGTTTAGATAATATTGTCAATGAGAAACTTAACATGAGCCCGCAGTGTCCGCTCGCAGCCCAGAAAGCCAACTGTATCCTGGGCTGCATCAAAAGGAGTGTGACCAGCAGGTCCAAGGAGGTGATCCTGCCCCTCTACTCTGCTCTCATGAGACCTCACTTGAAGTATTTTGTGCAGTTCTGGTGTCCTCAACATAAAAAGGACATGGAACTGTTGGAACAAGTCCAGAGGAGGCCACGAGGATGATCAGGGGACTGGAGCACCTCCTGTATAAAGACAGGCTGAGGAGGTTGGGGCTGTTCAGCCTGGAGAAGAGAAGGCTGCGTGGAGACCTCAGAGCAGCCTTCCAGTATCTGAAGGGGGCCTATAGGGATGCTGGGGAGGGACTCTTCATTAGGGACTGTAGTGACAGGAGAAGGGGTAATGGGTTAAAACTTAAACAGGGGAAGTTTAGGTTGGATATAAGGAAGAAGTTCTTTACTGTGAGGGTGGTGAGGCACTGGAATGGGTTGCCCAAGGAAGTTGTGAGTGCTCCATCCCTGGCAGTGTTCAGGGCCAGGTTGGACAGAGCCTTGGGTGCCATGGTTTAGTGTGAGGTGTCCCTGCCCATGGCAGGGGGTTGGAACTAGATGATCTTAAGGTCCTTTCCAACCCTAACTATTCTATGATTCTGTGAGTATATCTGCCAGGGTCTGAGTTTTTAAGCTATGCAAGTTTATTTTAGTTTTCTGTCAGTTAAGGGTAATTTTGACATCTCATTTTTGGAAACAGAAGACCTCAGGCATTTCCACTGGCAATAGTTGAGACCTGATTGTGCCCAAACCAGTGAGAATTGTGAATAAGAAGCTGAAACCATTTCTAGACTTCAGGAATTTTAGTAGACCTTTCCTGAAATAACTTCTTCTTTGACTTAAGTAGGTTTACGGAGTGTGGTTGAAGAGTTGGAATTGGAAAGAAATCAACTGCAGGAACAAATTGTTTTTCTAGAAGAGCGTTGTCAAGATTTGGAAGATAGATTGCAGCTTCAGGGGAGAATGGAGGCTCTTCAGGTGAGCTATTATAGTATGTAAAACCTGATGATGTAAGAGAATCATTTTAGTCTCTGTATATTCTTACAATCTTAATCTGCAGTAAGACAAAACCATCAATTTGCAGCTAGCAAAAATGTCTAAAGCCTACTGTATACTTGATAATTATGTTGCCAGAGAGTGTACATGTCTTGTATTATGCTCTGAAGTTGAAGCCTTTCACTTCTGTTCAGCATATGGAGAGACTTATTTGGAAGTAAGCGTTATTATTTGTTTGACAAAGCAGAGTAAAAGGTAACATGATTTTCATTATCCTACGTAGGGCCTTTGTCAGAAGGTCCAGAATTGGATTTTGTTACTACTGGCATAAGTCTTCCTCTTCTTATGTCCCTCAAATTCCTTTCTTGTAAATGTATGTGTGCATTATTATTTATGTATACACACACATTTATAGAAAAGAAACTGTTTAAATATAGGAAAATAATTAGTATTTCAGTATTTTGATATAAAATCTAAACCCCAGATATCAAATTGATATATATTTATATTGTAAAAGCATTCAACAAGTGCACCAAAAGGAATGGTTCAGTAAATATTCATCTGAAAAGTTATTTTTAATATTGCCTGACTGACAAGTTTCTGTGTTTGACTAAAACTCTTTCAGGCCTGCTGTGAGAGATCAGTTGTGTCATTTAGTGCAAATAAAGTTTACAGATTATCATAGATCTTCATCTGTTAAGTTGCACATTAATGATATTAATATGAAAGACAACCTTATATTAATTATTCCTTGAGAATCTTGTAACAAAGCCTTTCAATACAGGTAACCTTTGGTGTAGATGAAGAAGGGCAGCTATTGAGGGCGGTACAGGTGTGTTCTGCCTCCTCCAAAAGGCTAGCTTATTTTCATTAGTGGTGACAGGTTTGCCCTGTTTGTCCTATTTGCTGTTGATTGTGGATATGTGTTGTGCTTTTGGGTTTGGGTTGGGTGGTTGCTGTTGTAAGATATTTTGGTTTGTGGTTTTCTTTTTGAATTGGTGCCGTGGATCTGGTTAGAGTAGGACATTTGTATTGTGTTTAAAAACAAAAGCTGTGTGAATGAAGCTTGCTTCCTCTTTTTTTTCTCCATAATTCCTCATATTTTACACTTCTTCAACCTGAAAAAATAGGCCAAAAAATATTGGAAGTTTGGTACTATCTTCAAACCAATGAGGAAAGTGGTCTATTCAAAGCAGTAAGATAAGTAAGCTGCCTTAACACAGTCTTGAGTGTGTGTGTTGTTTTGGGTATACAGCAATCATCCTAGAGTTCCTACTAAAGGAGGTATTTCTGCCAGGTGGGTTGCATCTATCTGACTAATATCACATCTGAGCTTGTGATAGGAGTGTTGTAGTTTGCACTGATACCTGCTAACGTGCTGGAATAATGGTCTCTTACTCCTGTGTAGAATGTAAATCTCCTGAAGAGTCAGATTTACATGACTCCAGTTATTTCATGCTGTTCTGAGTGTTTGTGTATGATAATGCTCTTCATTAATTTTTTGTTGCAGAATGAAAATGAACGTTTGCAAACTCAACTCACCCAAATACGCAACCAACAAAAACAAGATATGGAAAAGCATCAGCTTCTGATCTCTGGCTTGAATGAGCAGCTTAAAGGGTAAAATAAAGGGTCTTCACAACTCTGTACAGGATTAGCTTTCTTTGCTTTAAGCTTAAACTTGGAATGAGAAGTATACTCTTTTAAAACACCTGTGAAAGAGTTACATGAATCCTGCTTCTGATTGCAGTAATGTTATATTTGTACTTGGAAGTTTAAATGGAAAATGTAAAAAAATGACTGTTCTTTTAGGAAAATAGTTTGGGGCTAATTCTAGAAAGCTTAAAGCCGACTTTGTTTTCAAAATGTCTAAGTATGTATTTTCTTTTTAGCTTAAGTGACAGGAATAGCTTCCTTGAAAATTCCCTTGGAGAAAAAGAACTGAAGTTGTTGAGCACAACAGAAAAACTGGAACAAATTGAAACTTTGAGGAAATTGCTTCAAGAAAAGGATCTTTTGAACAAAGAGCTTGGTGAAAAGTTTGTGCATACTGAGCAAAAAGTAAGTTTTATTGTTAAATAGTATTATTAGAACTGGTGAGCATTAGGCATAACTTTCTACTTGTGTCCCAGCAGCAGTATTGCAGTTTTCCCTATCTAAGAGTTTTTCTCTGTTTCTTTACAGTTTTGTCCATGTGATTGCTTTGCTTTAAGTTGGGTGTAAGGATTTCTTATACCAAACACAGAGCTTTGCATGAAAGTATGTTTTATTGGCGTGATAAGTTATCCTCATTTATTAATTTCAATTTATAAACCTCACTGTTGTGTAAACTGAATATTATAACACTAACATCACAATTTTAACATAGTTCTATATATTTCTATCACGTTGCCTTTTATTTTTAACACTAAGCTGAATGAAGCCTTAAAGAAATGCAGCGTGTATGAAGTGGAGAACACTGAGCAGAAAACAGTCATCAGTGATCTAACAGAAAAAGTTGCCACACTGAAGGAAAAGGTAACTCATTAAAATGAAGAGATGCTATGTTCTTTTGACACAGCCTATTTAAATGTCAGTAAAATAACAGCATTAACTGCTTAAAATTTCATACACTAAGCTTTCTGTATGCTTAAACAGCCTAAAGAATAACATGGTTATCTTGTGAGTATACAGTAAGGTGCAGATTGATTACTTTAAATGCTCATTCCACATGTGGAGTGTAACTTCCATTCTCCCTCTAACATAAGTTTGAAATATTCTTGTAACATTATTCTCTTGATGTTTAGACTTTGAAACAAGATGGCGTGGTAGAATCGATGCAGCTGGATCTGGACCAGACCAATGAAGAGCTTGACAAATTGAACACAAGCCACTTAGAGGAAAGATCTCAACTTATTCAAGATCTCCAGAAATGTGAAAGAGAAATTGATAATCTTAAGGAAGCACTGGCAGAAAAAGACAGGGAGATGTCTATGCTGTCTTTGAATATGACAGAGTATTCTGAACAGGTTATCATCCTGAAGCATCAGGTGCAATGCAAAGAGGAAGAAATCCGAGGCATGGAAGAGGCTTTATCAAAGGCTGAAAGGGAAACTCATTTACTGAAAGAAGTACAAACAGCTGATGTAAGAGATGCAAGCCTGCAGATATCTGCCCTTTCTGAGCAGAGTAATACAATGAGATTAGAGCTTGAAAGAATCAGAGTTGAGAATGAAGCTAAAACCAAAGAAAATGAGGAATTAATAAGACAAAGCAGTGAGAACAGCCTTACAATTAAGGATCTCCGTTCTGAAATCCAGGCCAACAGTGTCGCATACCATAACAAACTAGCGGAGTGTGAGTCACAAATTACTTTGCTGAAAGAGCAAATTAGTAAATCATCTGAAAAGCTACAGGAAACTGAGAATAAACAAAGAAAAGAAACCGAGCATTTGAAATCTCAGCTTGAGGAAAGCAATACTCTAAAGGAAAAATGGAACAATTTGCTTAAAGAGAAAGAGAGTAAAGCACAGACACTTGAAAATGAGTTAAAATCAATTAAAGATTCATACAACAAACTGGTGTTGGAAAATGCTAAAAAAGATGAAGAGTTGACTGAATTGTCTAGGAAGCTTGTGGAACATACTGAACATCAGGAAACAATTCAAAAAGAGCTACAGGAGAAACAAGAGTTCATTATTTCATTAGAGAAGAAGCTTGGGGTTATGGAGCAGCAAAATGAAGAGACTAAACTTAAATTAACTGGAGATCTGAAAGCCAAAGAGACATGCTGCAAAGAACTTAATAACCAATTAAATGAAATACATAAACAGATGAACAAACTGGAAACGGAGGCACAGGAGAAAGCTTCAGCTAATAAACAATTGCAGGCAGATCTTGAAGAGAAAGAGGAAAAACTGGCAGAGCAAATAAAAGCAAATGAATACCTGAAAAAAAGTATTGATATGGTAGAAAAAGAGAAGGAACAGCTGATCAGTGAAAAGGAGGATTTGTCCAAGCTCCTGGATGTAAAAGAGTGTGAATTGTTAAAGAAAATCCAGTCTGTGGCAGAAATAGAGAATAAGTTATCTATTAGCACCGCTGAGTACGAAAAATCTCTTTCACTACTAAACTGTGATAAAAACAGTCTGGCAAAAGAGATTGAACAACTTTCAGTGCTTGCCCAGCAAAAAGAAAATTCAGTTGCAGAACAGCTGCAGGAGAAAACAAAGGAATGTAATGTGCTAACTGATCAGTTGTTTGAAAGCAAGGAACAGACACAACAGTTGCAGGAGCAAATGCAATCACTTCTCATTCAGCTGAAGGATACTAGAGACAAAGAAATAAAAACAGAAGAAATATTAAATAATAAATTATCTGAATGTAGTAGCCTGATCCAAGAGCTCAGCCATAGCAAGGGAAAGAATTTACTACTGCAGGAACAAATTCAAAGCCTAACTTTGGATTTTGAAACTGCAAACAGGTCTCTAAAAGAGAAAACCCTTCAAAATGATTCATTATGTAAGGAAATGGAAGAGAGTAAGCTGTGTATTGTAGAGTTGCAGGATGAAATTAAAAATCTTAAGGATGTAAAAACAAAGTTATCACAGTTGGTAGAGGAAAGAGACCTGACTGTGAAAAATCAGGGTTCAGAACTTGAAAAGTTGCACAAGCAGGTTTCTGAAAACGTGGAAGAAAGTACAGCATTAAAGAATCAGCTACAGCTCTTAAGCAAAGAAGTAGATCAGCTTAGGCATGAAAAGGAGGACTTTGCAAGCTTATTGAGCACAAAGTCACACAAGTGTGAATTTCTTCAGTCACAGGTGGTACAACAACAGTCTGAAATTACTTCAGCAAGGCAACAAGCACAAACAGCAGCTCTAGAAAATGACAAGTTGAAAGTAGACATTGAAACGGTTAATGTTCTGGTCATGAAAAAGTCAGATGAAGTAGCTGCTTTAACTTCACACTTATCCCAACAAAGTCATAATATTTTAGAACTCAAGGACCAAATTGATGGCCTGTTGATTGAAAAAGAAAACTTAAAAGTTGTCTCTGAAGAAAAAGAAGCTCTCCTTTCTGAAAAGGAGGCTTTGATTCAGCAAATGAAAGAGAGTAAACAGGCAGGAGAAGGGCAGTACATGCAAATCATTTCCGATCTGCAAAACCAAATACAAGCCCTAGGTTCTGAAACCAACCAGCTTAGACAAACAGTGCAGGAAAAAGAAAATGAATTTAAGAGGCAAGGCCAAGAATTAAAATTATTAAAAGATAAATCTGAGGAGTCTGATGTACTTAGGGTTCAACTGTCTGAGAATATGGAGGTTATTTCTGACCTGCAGTGTCAGCTTAGAAATGCAACAGAAAAATCATCCCAGTTGAATGATTCAATTATACAGAAGGATGAATGTTTAAAACAAAAGTTAGATGAATACATCAGTTTAAAAGCCCAGCTTTCTGAAGTACAGGAATCTTCTGTTTTGCAGGAGAAGCAGTTAAAGCTTGTAGCCTCTGAAGCAGAACAGTTGAAAGTGCTTGTTTCAGAAAAAGAATTAGCTATCAATAATATTTCATTATTCAGTGAGAATTTAAAGACGCAGCTTCAAGGGAAAGAGAATGAATGTGAGGTTTTAAAGAAACAGGTTTTAGAGCTGGAGGAAGCAAAAGTGACTTTACAAAGCGAAATACAACATCAGAAGAATTTAGTAATTGAGATGGACCAATCGTTATCAGAAAAGGAATCATCTCTTAAGGAAAATGACAGTCTCCTCAAAACTCTGAAGGAGAAAGCAAAGGAAGATGACAAGAAGACAGTTACAATTTCTGAGCTCCAAAATCAGGTACATGACCTAACACAAGAACTACAAAAATCTAAAGAACTAATCCATGAGAAAGAAAATGCCTTTTTATCTCTTCAGGAGAAAATTGAAGCACAGAATGAACTAAGAACTGAGTTGAATGCAGCTCTTGGCCAAAAAGAAGAAGTTATTGCTGGACTGCTTAATTCTTTAAAGGAGAAAGATGCCAGTATACAGTTGGCAGATAGCAACGTTAATGTTCTTTCTAGTGAGATCGAGGTTCTCAGAGAAAAACTAGAGAAAAGTGATGCAGCCATGAAAAACCTGACTGAGGAAATTCAGGAAAAGAATGAAAAACTTGTTGTTAATCAGAAGAAAACTGATTCTTTGACTGCTGAACTTGACTCTCTTAAAAATGAACACCAAAAAGCACTAGACCAAATAAGTACATGGGGAGAACAGCTACAGCAGAAAGAATTGTCTGTGGAGTCTCTGCGTGTGAAGTGCACTGAACAGGCAGATAACATAGTGCGTTTGAAGTTGGAGTTGGACAATGTAAATTCCAAATCATCCCAGGACTGCCATGACAATGCACTTTTTATAGCTGGTCTGCAGTGTCAGGTAGAGGCTTTAGAGAAAGAAAAAAATCTGTTACAAGAAGATGTGAATAAACTGATGGCCGAAAACACACAACTTAGTGCCTCTCAAAATGGTTTGCAGAAGAAATTGGAAGAGCTCCGAGAAATCAATGAAAAGTTAGAAACCAGTGAGAATTATTCAAGAATGCAGATAGATGCTGTCAAACTGCAGATGAAGACTGAAAAAGAGAAGTTACAGATGCAGGTCAGTGTGAAGGGTGAAGAACTTTCTAAGCTAGAACTTAAGTTTGAAACTCTAGAACAAAGTCTGCTTGAGTCAGAAAGCAAATGGGTGACTGAACTTGATAGGGCAACTTTACAAAACAGTAATCTTGCTGAGCAGTTGAGCACTTTAGAAAGTGAAATGGAATCAAAGGATAGCAAAATCCAGTCTTTGCAGCAAGAGCTGGATCTTATAAACAAGGAATTAACTCAAAGCTTATCTCCATTACTTAGTAGTAGGCTTTTATGTAAAGAAAAGGCAGCACAGGCTTCAGATTCTGAACTGCAGCTAACTGATAGTAAAACTCAGTTGGAAAAATTCTCCACTCTGATAACCACTATTTTGAGCAAAGAAACAGAAGGAGAGCAGTTGCAACTGGTGCTTTTAGAAAAACAGGAAGAGATAGACACCATGAAAGAGGAATTAAAAAGTATGCAGTCACTTGAGAAGCAGAAGGAGTTGCTTCAGAATGATATTGAGAAGATGAAGGGCAAATACGAGTCTGAAATTGAATGCCTGTCAAAAGAAATGGTCACAGTGAAGGAAGCATTATGTAAACAACAGTCTCTCCTGCAAGAAAGCAAAGAATCTTTTGCAGAAGTAAATAAGCAGGTTGAATTTCTTCAAGACAAGATAAATAAATCGGAAGAAATAGTAAGAACCAGTCAAGAAAAACTGCACATGGAAGGTAAAAAAGTAGCCAGTCTCCTTGAAGAAATGGGAGAAAAAGATCAACTCATTGAAAACTTAACTTCCCAGGTAAATCAGCAGAAGGATTTAGTTTCTGGCCTAAGCCAGCAACTGAAAGAAAAGGACTGTTCTGTTACCCAGATCATGGAATCATTGTCTAATGAAATGCTGAATTTCTCTGAAGAAAGAAATATGTTAAATACCAAACTGCAAGACCTTGAAGCTGTCCATAATAGTTCTGTAGGAGAGCTAACCCGAGCATTGCAGGAACTTGAGGACTGTAAGAAGGAACTGGAACATAGTCAGGTTACGTTAAGCAGTCGAGAAGCTGCATTTAGAGATCTAATGCATGAGAAAGAGCAGATGCAATTTAATCTTGAGAAAATGGGCAAGGAAAAAGAGAATCTTAAAAAGAAACTTCAAGCAGCATTGATCATAAGAAGAGATCTAATGCAAAAAGTTGGAAAACTAGAAAAGAGTGGTCAGGAAGAAATAGAAAAAGAGCAAAAAAAAGCAGAGGAGCTGTTGAAGGAAGTTAATGAGTTAACAGAGAAGCTGAAGGTAGTTGAAGTACAAAAGAAAGAATTTGAGTCTCATCTTGGGACTTTGGAGCAACAACTTTTAGAAAAAGATGCCAAAATAAGTGATTTGACTGAAATTTTGTCTTCTAAAGCTTCTTATTTAAAGGAACTTCAGGACAAGATTGTGGAACTAAACGATGTCATTGCTGACAAACAAAATGCATGTGAGCAGAACCTAAAGTCTTTAGAAGAGAAGGACAGCGTGCTTGCTCATATGCAGTCTATGCTCGATGAAAAAACAAGTGTGTATGAAGAGGAACGTTCTCAGTTGCTCTTAGCTCTTGAAAAGGTGAAGTCTGAAGTTAAGAAGGAAGAATTGTTGAAAGATTCCAGTGCAGAAGAGCCTGGTTTAAGTGCTGGGGACAGAAAGAAATGCCTGGATGCCAACATTGACATTACTGTAATGAATCAGTTAAAAAAAGAAAAAGAAGCCTTACAGAGGGAGCTTCTGGTCAGGGAAGAAGATAGGAAGAAATTTCAGAAAGAAAGGGAAGAGCACATTAAACTTGCAGCAGATTTTGATGAACAAAAAACCCAACTTGAGCAACTGAAACTAGAACATAAAGCACTCTGGGAAGTTCTTCAAACAAAATGTAAAGAACTTGACTTGAACCAGTTAGAGTACCCCCTAGTGAAAGAGCTGGCTTCATCTGAGGCAGTGATGGGAGAAGAAGAATCCGACAAACCAAGCAGCATTCAGGTTCCATCCTTTAAAGAGTCAGAAGACATCACTTTGGTGGCAAATAAAGACACTGAGTTAATAGAACTGCGAAATAATTATGCAAAACTTCAGGAGGAAACAGAAATGTTAAGGAAAGAGTTGAGAAGAATACCCATTGAATTTGGTGATGCAAGGGAAGAAACTGTCAACTTGCACTCTTCAAGGCAGCAGGAGCAATGTGAGGGCAGCTTGTTGGAGGACATAAAGCATCTGCATAAGAAGCTGAAAGCATATGAGGCTGAAGCTATAGATGCTAAGACAGAGCTTGAACGTGTGAATAATGAGAAGGAAGCACTGATTAAAAAAAGTGAAGAGGATTACAAGATGAGCCAGGAGAAACTGCAGAAACTGAGAGGTGAAGCTAAGAAGGAGGTTGGAGAAAAGAATGAGGAGATAGCAGCATTGCATTGTTTGCTTACGGATCTCAAAGATAAACTTGATGTGGAAAAGGAATTGTTAAACAAAACAATACAGGAGGGCCAAGAAGAAACCCTCCGTTACAAAACAGCACTAGAAGAAGTGAAGAGTGAAAAAGAGAAACTACTCAGTTGTTTAGAAAAGTCTGATTTGGAACTAATTAATATGAAAAAGGAGGTAAAACATGTCAATGAAGAAAACAAAAAACTTCTGACAGAGCTGTGCATGCTACGTGACAAGGCTGAGATGAGCAGACCTGTGGTGCCATCCAAAGAGCTGAAGGAAGAGGATGATACCGAACAAGGAAAGTTGCAGGGTAAAGGCGCCTATTTCCAGCTATCAGAGACTGCTTGCTCTGGCAAAGCTAAAGTGAGAGAAGCAACAGAATGTCACATCCAAAAACAAATGCAAGTGATTGAAGAGCCCCTGGCAAAAACTGCAAATGAAAATGTTTCTAAACCACAAGAGCAAAGAACTGTACCAGAAGAGAAGACCAGAGAGCTCCTTCAGAGAAAATTACAGGCTGCTTTAATATCACGTAAAGAAGCCCTGAGAGAAAATAAATGTCTGAAAGACCAGCTTGAAAAGCTGATGTTGGAAAGAGAAGATCTGGTGAACAAAGCAGGGATGCTTGAACACTTGTTAGAGCTTGGTAAAGAAAAACAAAGTTCAAGTACTGTTTCTTCATTGTCTGAAGAGGAGCGCCTTGCTTCTGAAAATGCCAGATTGCTGACTGAAAATGAAAACCTCACTGCAGCTTGTGAAAGTCTTAAATCCACCATGGAGTCTATAGTTCAGGAAAAAGAGGCCTTTTCTTTCCAACTAAATACCTTAAAAGATTCTCAGACAGTTGAATTAACAGGCTGGAAGGCTAAACATAGTGAATTAAAGCAGGAGTATGAATCGCTTCTTCAGGCGTATGAGAATATCAGTAGTAAAATAGCAGATATGAGGCAAGTTATTGATCTCAGTAGAAAAGAGAAGCAAGAGGCTATTCAAAGACTGAGGGAAGGAGAATCTGAGAAGGAAGCTCTTGAGAAGCATTTACAAAAACTCATTGACGAAAATGAGGTTATTAAGAATCAGCTGAAACAACTTGGAGAATCCAAGAAAATGGAAGCTGACGAGTTACAAAGTAAAGCAGAAAGGCAGATACGTGAGCAAGAGGCAAGGATGCAAGAGCACCAAGATCGTCTTCATGAGCTCACCAAACAGAATCATCAGCTAATGGAGGAAAATGAGCAGCTGAAACAAACTTCTGAAAACTTAAAGCAGGCTTTAGAGAAAATTCAGAATGAAAATTATATCCTTCAGAACAACATCACTGTAACTAAAGCAGCTTTGGGAGAGCTCCAAGTTCAAATGGAAGTGCACCAGAACGATATGCAATCTAAAATCAGTGAGGCGTTATTGGAGAACGAATCATTATTAAAGGACATTAATGAGTTAAAGGATAAACTCTCTGAAAAAGAACAAGACGCGTTTGTCTTAGAACAAGAAAGAAATTTGATTTCAGAAAAAGCAAAAGAAACTGAAAAATCTTTGGACCACAAAGATCACTGTCTAACAAAGCTGGACATGGAATGTCAGAGGCTTACACAAGAAATTGTTAGCCTAAATGAAAAAGTTAAGATTTTAGAGGATGACAAATGTCTCCTACAGGAAGAATTAGAAAATGTACAAGAAAGTTCTTACAAAGTAAAGAATGAAAGAGAATTTCTGGAGACAGAATTGCTTAATCATGTCAAAAAAGTTGATCATCTTACTGACAGAATGAAATTGGCACAAGTACAGAATAACTTGCTCTTACAGCAGCTGGAAGAATTAAAGGCAGAGAAGTGTAATGTGATCAGAGAAAAAGAAGAACAGCAGTTACATCTTGTAAAAATATTTGAGGAGAAGGTGAAAAGTGCTCAGAGGGATAATAATGGAAGTAAAAACAAAACGAAAGAATTGCAAGAACTCTTAAAGGAGAAACAGCAGGAGATCAACCATTTGCAAAAGGATTCTATAAAGTTCCAGGAGCTGATCCTGGATTTGGAAAGATCTGTGAAACTGTCACAGGCAAAAAGTGAAAAATTCGAAAAGGACTTAAGTAATATGTCAGAGAAGCTTGCAAAGTCCAATGAAGAAATACAGCATCTTGAGGGAAAGCTTTCCTCCCAGGTGAACTTACTGGATCAGTCAAAGAATGAAGTGAACAGGCTCACAGATGAGAATCTGAATTGGAGAAAAGAACTTCAGAAAAAAGATGATGAACTGCAAATTCAAAAGAGGGAATATGAGAGACAATTGGAATTTAATCTTCAGCAACTTAAATTGGTTCACAAAAGAGACTTTTTGAATCTAGAGGAAAGACACAGTGCCCTTGAGAGAGAAAAAGATAGGGCACTTAGTGAGATTCATGGTTTGCAAGAGGAAATCAGCATGAAGGACTCTGAAAACAAGAAACTTCAAGCAGATCTGAATGCAGCTTTGGCACGATTAGCTGCTTTTACAAAGTGTATGTCCTCTCTTCAGGATGACCGGGACAGGGTAATCACCGAAATGAAAACCTGGGAAATGCAGTTCAAAGAGATCATCCAAAAGAAAGAGAAACAGGTAGAGGACAGTAATAAAAGAATAATATCTTTACAAGATGAATTGAAAGAGAAGATCACTCAGATTCAAGAACTGAATATCAAATATTCTATGGTAGAGGAAACAAAGGATGAACTGTATTTGAGGCAAAAATCTGTTGATAGACAACGCCATGAAGAGCTCTGCAGAATAAAGGAAGAAAATACAGCGTTTCTGAACAGGCAGCAAGAACTGGAGAGCGTTCTTCAGTCCAAAGAAGAAGCTTTGCAAGCACTCCTTAAAGAAAATAATTCTCTTAATCATCTTATAGAGAATAGTAAAAGTGCAGGAAGAGAGATAAAAGCTCTGGAAAGTAATTTTACCAGACAGGAACAAGAACTGCAACAGCTTCTAGCTGAGAAGGAAAAACTTAATGCTGAATTGCAAAAGCAGATTACCATTTCTGAGCAAATGAAGGTCATGCTAAATAATAAAGACAAGGAAATTTCCTTACTTATTTCTTCAAAAGGTGATGAAATCTCTGACTATCTTAGTCAGGTACAGAGTCAACACAGAAAACAAATCCAAGAGTATGAACTTCAGTTAAAGTCTTTGCAGCTGGAGAGGCAACAATCTGAGGAGTCCTGTCAGAGGATGGAAGATGAATTGAGAAGTCTCCAGGTGAAAGCAGACAAAGCAGGTCAGGATAAGGCTGCAATTGCCAGTGAAATAGATGCCTTGAAAAAATCAATGTCATCTCTTCAGAATGATCGGGATGATCTATTTACTAAATACAAAGAGCTGGAACATCTTCACCAAGATGTCTTGAATCAGAGGGACAGCCTTATAGTTGGCAATGCAAGTGAAAATAATGCTTTGAAAGAAGAATTGAGGGTGCTTCTTAATCAGATCGATGATCTTCATTCTGAAAATGCAATGCTAAGTGCACAGCTGATAAAGTATAGGGAAGATCTTAACCAAGTTTTATCTCTGAAAGACCATCAGCTAAAAGACTTACTTAAGCAGAAATTGGATTGTATTAAAAGCCTTGAACAAGAAAAATATGATCTTCAAAAACAAATAAAAGAAATGCAGCTTTCCAGTGAGCTGCAGAAGGATACTGCTGTATCTTTGGAACATGAAAATAAGAAATTGGTGTCTAAAGTAAATGATTTAGAATCTTTAATTGCATCACTAAATAAAGAGAAGCTTGTTTCCAGATCTGGAGAGAAGCTGGTAACTAGTGATAGTGTTCAGAATCAAGAGTGTGTATCAAATGGGCAGTATGGAGAAAATCTTCAAGAACTCCAGAAATCAAGAGGCAGAAATACTAAGGATGCAGATAAGGAATACAGTAAGACTCTTTTGACACTTGAACATGGAGATGAACCCGATGCTTTTCCAATGAAGATGATGCTAGAAGTTCAGTCTCAAAATAGTGAGCTGAGGTCCCAAAATGAGGCCTTTGGGAAAGCAATGAGTGCTCTGCAAAATGATAGAGATAGGATAATAGAAGACTTAAAGGTACTTCAAAGCAAATACACATCTGATCTCCAGACTGAAAAAAAGAAAGGAGACGAACTTGAAGCTGAATTGGATGGCTTTAAATTACATCTTGCCACTATGCTCAAAGAAAATTCTCTTCTGAATCGGGCTATTTTTGATGCTGCAGATAAGGTTACACTTGATCAGATTGCTGCTGAAATTGAAAAGCTCTGTAGGACGTTAGTCAGTCGAGAGATGGAGGTTAGGAGGCTCTCAGCTGAGTGTGGCAGTTATGTTCACCAGATTGAAGCTTTTTCCAAGGCTATGGCCAGTCTTCAGGATGACCGAGACAAATTGCTTCAGGAACTCGGCAATCAGAAGGTAACTTCTGGAACAAAACAGGGCACAGCTTCATTTCTCATTGGTTGCAACAGCATCAGTGAGCTCAATTCTCTTAAAAGTAATTTGGCTATGCCTCAGAACAATAGGGGAACGTTGGTAAGTTTTCATTTTGTAATGTATTTCTTGATGCAGAGAATGCTTAGAGACATTATGGTTTCTGAAGTTTAGCTTTGTACATTACATGAGTGCTAAGAAAACATGGGATTAGAAAGGCATGCTTACAGTTTTGGGAGTTTAGGTAGTTATGCTGTTAAACAGCAGCAAATTGTGAAAAAACATCATTCTGTAATTGGAATTCTAGCACTACTAAAACTTCAACCAGACAGTTTTTGTTCCAGTTCACTAATCATGTTCATTAAACATAGGCTAAAGAAGGAGCCAGCCTTGCAGCTGTTGAAATATCAAAACTGAAGACCAAGGTTGATGATTTGGAGAAGGCATTGCATCAGACAAAAGCCTTCCAAGCAGAAACTGAGCAAGAGATTGCATCATACCAGAATGAACTTGCTGGATTAAGGTATAGACGTTAAATAGTATAAGTGGCTCTTGTTTAGAATTCTTCAGTGACTTCAGAACCTGACATAAAACTGGTACAAACCCCAAATTATGTATAGTTCAGCAGGAAGTAGGATAAAAATATTTCTGTAATGTGTGAAATCTCCAAATTCGATTTCTACAGGGTTGTCTGTTGGTGGTTATCCTTGCATCTTTATGTAATGGTCCTCTGGTTTATATCAAGTTTCAAACAGTCTTAACTGTATGTTTTTTCTTCTGTTGGTGACATGGAACTATAGTTTATGAATCTTATTTCAGTGCTTGGTATCATATTCTCTTCTCAAAGTAACAATTGATCTGGCTGGGTATTTCCTCCCCTAAATTTCTCAATTTTAAAAGATGTCTGAGGTGTTGCATATGTGTCCCAACAACATACTGAAAATGAAAGTAATTTCACATTTGAGCATTATTTTTGTAGATTCAGCACTGTTCTTGCATCATCTGTGACAAATAATGTGACACCTTGGGCTTAATTCTGTGAATGACTCATAAGGGCTGCTTCAGAGAAGGCAGTAGGCATTTTTAAGTGGCACTCAGTGGAGGTTTAGAGTCTTGTTCTTGTTCAAGCTTTTAACATGCTGTGATCAGTTCAGTGAAGATACTTTGTTTGAATTTGAGGCCAGTGGACAGCATGGTAGTGCCTTACTGCATTTTACTATCCATGGTGAAATTTCTAGATCTCTAATTAAAGTCTGTGTAGATAATACCTGGTTTATGCTGGAACTTTTTAGGGGTGGGGTTGTAGATCAAAAGGCAAGCCCCAGATTTACCTTCACAAATGTGAGCAAGTTAGCATGAAATATTCAATCCTCAGTCTAAACATGTGGACTTAACCAGTGAACAGCATTAATAGTCTTTTTCCTTTTTTTTTTTCCCCAAACTTGTCTTAAATTGAATACAAAAGGATTTAAATTGCTTTTATGCCCTTTGAGACATTGCCTGTGTATGACAGCAGATTCTGGAGACGTGGTATGCTTGTTTGTTTCAGTGTTCTGAGTCGAGGGGTATTCCTTTTCAAACTTGTGTGCCTGCAATAAGGGTGACTGGCTGCTTTGAGGAGCACCCTGCACAACTGTGACCTAGAGCTGCTCTGTTGAACAACCTTATTCTTTAACTAACTGAAGTATTTATTGCATTAACAGCCTATGAACTTCTCTATGTTGCATTAACAGCCTATGAACTTGAGCCTATTGCAGCCTATGAACTTCTCTTGTCTCCAAGCCAACAAAGAAAATGTGATGTTATCACTTTCCAGCCTATATTTTCTGACCTTTTTTTTCAGCAGATCTCTTTAAATTGAAGTATGTATTGAGAATGTTCATATATTGCTCCATATTTGCATATAACTGTTTGAAAATACCATTATTTATTTCAGAAATAACAGTAAGTACAGCTTTATCATTTTCCTTGAATTTTGTATGTATATCATCATTTAACATCTAATATTTTGCCTAATATTTTATGTTCAGAATGGAAAAAAACCTTCTCCTCTCAGAGTCTCAGGCTCTGCGAAATCAATGTCAAATCGCAGTTGCTGAGAAGGACCAACAGATTGCACAACTACAGAAGCTCCAACAAGACATGATTGTGAAGAAATCAATCTCTGCTGGCAGCAATTATCCAGTCCAGGTAAACAAATGACATGTAGCAGGAGGCACAAATCTACTTCCATCAATTTATTGTATTAAGTTTGCAGCTTGCTTCCCAGAAGAGCATGATAGTGAAGTATGGAATGTACGTCAGTGTTGCCTGGGCTGAAATCAGTAAATTGGAACTATTCCAAGCAAATGAGTTGCAATTATTAAAAGCACTTTTTAATGGAGTCTGATACATTGGTCAGCTTCTTTTAAACAAAGAAAAATAATGAGTTTCTCATGCATTGGTAAAATAAGAGAGGGAAATCACTGATGTGGTGTATTTTAATGATTAAAAAAATGGAAAGCACCTTCATAAAGAAATGGGATGATTGTGAAGCAAAATGTGAAGGTCATAAACCAGTAATGGTTTCATAGTCGAAAAGGAGTTAACTTTGCCGTGGTTACATTTTAAGGTAATTTTATTTGCTTGTTGCTGAGTTGGCAGTAGATTACTTAAGTAACATTGTAAGTTACTATCTCAGATGACTTGAATCCAGAATATAATAGAAAGAAGTTGGGGAAAAAAAACACAAAACGGTTCAGCAGCAGACTGAGTGCTGATAAATAGAGACACATAAGTGAAGGAAGTAAACCATATTCCTTTTTATTTTATTAAAAACATTTTAGTTGATCGAGTTTGTATCTCACATGCTGTTCATTTTCTGTGATTAAAATAATGAAGTTGTGAATGCTCCATCCCTGGCGGTGTTCAAGGCCAGGTTGGACAGAGCCTTGGGTGACATGGTTTCGTGGGAGGTGTCCCTGCCCATGGCAGGGGGATTGGAACTGGATTATTTTTAGGGCCTTTCTAGCCCTAACTATTCTATGATTCTAATAAAAGCTATTGAACGGTAATGTTGGGTTATGGAACATCCTAGGTGGTAGAAGTCTATTTCATGATTGCATAGGAAAACAGATCTTGTAAAGCATTAGAGATTGCACACATCCCTCCATTATTGGAGAGTAATATCAATAAATTGAACTGCCAGAGATTAAGTCCGAAGCTGTGAATCAGTGATAAAGTTGGGTGGGTTATTTTTCTTTTCAAAAAGGACTTTCAGCTTTAAATTCGTATTTACAAAATAGCTGTTCTTCTATGAGTCATGAATACCACATATTATTAGTTTGAAAGGTGTTTTGTATTCATCTGTCTCTTGCTATTACGCACACCCCCTTTTTTGTGTGCTTCACACAGTTTGCAAATTTAAAAATTAAATTGGGTTGCCTTTTCAAAGTAATTTAAATTTTTTTCTTCTCTAAATTGAAGTATTTAGGTTGAAAACTAAGGGTTTTTTTAATATATATAAAGTAGAATGTGTGTGGGGGGTTAATATGTATAAAGTCTCTTGCAAATGTGGTATTAACTTGTGAGAAGGAAATGATCTTGTGAATAGGAAATTATTATGTAGTCTGTATATTTAGTGGTGGAGTTTTATATTCTTTAGAGAACTCCTGTACCATTTCCCCTGAATGTGCTGATGCTTTTTAAGGTTTTAGAAACTGTCTCCCTTGCTGGAAGTGCAGATACGCCGGAGGAAACCAAACGTATCTTAGCTGAAAAGAATCAGCTCCAGAATGACCTGCAGCGCTGCCTCCAGGAGATACACCAGAAGGATCTTTGTTTCCAGCAGATGAATTCAAAGGTAACTTAGAACAACAGTTGTCATCCTGAATACCTCGTATGAATTTTAGCTGGTATCAATATAGAAACATCGCTAAATTGGTGGTGTCTTGTGTGGTTTTGCTTTAAAACTTACATTCTCCAAAACGTTCGCTCAAACGAGAAATTGCAAACTAAACGTCAGTATTATGTTTCTGTCAGGTTTTCCTGACTTGTTCTTTGGCTGAGAGAGGTTTATTTGAATCTGCATTCTGAAGACGTGGATGGGGTGCTGATGAGCTTTGACTCAGAGTAAAGGATTTTTCATTATAGAAAGAAGCAGATGTCTGTCTTTGCTAGAACAAGATTTTAGCTATCTCAGACCAAATATTCCATACTTCAGGTATGCTTCCTTAGAAATTACACGGCAGGGGGTTTGGAACTTGATGATCTGAAGGTCTTTTCCAACCCTAACTATTCTATGAAATTCTTGATGAGTACTTTTGCAGCTGTTAAGACAGTCAGAGTGTGTGTGTGTCCGTGTGCACATAATGATTTTGTGTTCAGTTTTGTTTGCAAAAGTTTGTAAATGTTCTTGGAAGTTCCCTTAATGTTTCTCTCTTTGCCTGATATTTCCCTGGTATTTCAAGCAAAGCAGGTTTATGTTACCTTTTGTCTGTCGTTGTTTTCACACCTTCACCCAAACGTTTTATAAACCTAATAACCATTTTAACCAAACTTGGAAACAGGTGTAGAAATCTAAGCCTCCTACAAGGGAGGATGAGTGTTTGGGTAATGTGACCCGTATTATGGTCTGGTTTTTGAAAACAGATGAAAACTCACTGCTGAGCATTCCTGGACTGCCTGGTGAACAGCCTTATTTGGCTTTATGTGTTATCCTGAAGTAGCAACTACTAGTATTTTGCCAGGTGGTGGTAGCATAGCAAATACATGGAGGAAGGGTTTAAAATCCTGAGTTTTTGTTTTGGGCATATTGGTGACAGGGGAAATCAATACTCAGGTTTTATTATTTCTACTGTCCATAAAGTAATGAGGTAAATCTTACTGAAAAGTCACAGAATCATAGAATGACAGAATAGTTAGGGTTGGAAAGGATCTTAAGATCATCCGGTTCCAACCCCCCTGCCATGGGCAGGGACACCTCACACTAAACCATGTCACCCAAGGCTCTGTTCAGCCTGGCCTTGAACCACTGCCAGAGATGGAGCATTTACCACTTTTTTGGGCAGTCTGTTCCAGTGCCTCACCACCCTCACAGTAAGGAACGTTTTCCTTATGTCTAGCCTGAAATTCCCCTGGTTCAGTTGAACCCATTACCACTTCTCTTATCACTACAGTTCCCGATGAAGAGTCCCTCTCCAGCATCCTTGTATGCCCCCTTCAGATACTGGAAGTCAATGCAGTTTTGAAACTAGTACACAGTTGTGTCCACCAGCAGGTCTCAAATCTGTTGTAATTTCCAGGAGGAAATCATTGCGAAATTTTATTTATTTAAATGTTAATTTCTTTCAGGTTGTGCAGTCAACAGAAGAGAATGCTGTCTTGTCTGCCCAGCTGAAGACTCTTTCACAGACTCTAAGAGATAACCAGCTTCGTTACACTGACTTGCAAAATCGTTACTTAAGACTGGAGAGGGAGTATCAGACAATGCAAGTGACATCTTTCCAAGGCACTGTTCAGGTAACCAAATATATGGAAGTTGTTTTAGTTGGTTCTTTTTCCTCCTATGCTTATGCTTTTCTTGTTTTCATGCTAAAAAATGAAGTAAATACTTTCTAATCTAGATTTACCTTCTTTCAGCTTAAATCCATTCTCTGTTGTGTCCTGTCACTACATGCCCTTGTAAAAAGCCCCTCTCTACCTTTCTTGTTGGCCCCTTTAGGCACTGGAAGCTGCTCTAAGGGTCTCCCCAGAGCCACCTTTTCTCCAGGATGAACAAGCCCAGCTCTCTCAGCCTGTCTTCAGAGCAGAGGAGCCTCTGATCATCTGGAGATGATCAGAGGAAAATCTGGAAATGAATAGCTGCATTACTTATGAAACTGCAGTCAATGCTATATTATTAACTGGATGTGTAGATGCATTTCTTTCACTTCAGAGCTTGCTTTGTTATGCAGCATACATGTATCCTTCAAGTCCTGCAGCACACACAGGCATTATTCTTCATCAGCTTTCAGTTAGAAAACAGGTTTGGAAGATTGCAGCTCCAGAAATGAAAAGATTAAATGGCACAAAGAGGAGTTTGTTCCACAGCTTCATGGTGCTTATGGCTTCTTTAATTGAAACAAAGATTCTTAGCAGCTAGAAAAATGGTGACTGGCTTTTTTTTTTCCCCTTTAATATTTCCTAGGATGAAACTAGAGCAGAAGTTCCCCCTGGAGCGCCACAGGAAAGATCTGCAGTTATTGTTGAAGTAGACAATATGGAGCTAAATGAACTCAGAAAAAGGTCAGGACTGAGACATGTATTAGCAATATTGTTTTCCTGACAGCTGTGTTGTGAGTGCAAAAGTAATGCTTTTCTATCCCTCTAAGACATTTTGGGGGAAAAGGGAAAGAAGTGGATTTACAGTGGATTAAATGAATCATAGTTGTCCTTGTGAATTGTTACAATCTGCTGGTATTTGTGGTTTGGTGGTGTAAAGATACACACTTATTGGTGACTATTTCAATATCTAATTTAAAGATAATTAAGTCTTTATCACAAATAAAAGAGCATTCCTTAATAAAAAAAGAACAAGAAAGTCATTCTTTAAGTACATCAGATGCTGATCTCACGTTTCATTTTGTCACAGGCTTGCAGAGACTGAGCAACAATATGATTCAGTGCAGCAGGCACTCACGCAGCTGACAGAAACACTGTCAGAAGAGAAGAGGAGGAGAGAAGCTGCAGAAGAAGCCCTTGGGCTCTCTGAGGAGCGAAGTAACAGGTAAAATACTCCTGGTTATAAAACATGGCGTTTTTCCTTCCGAAAGAAGAGTGTCTGTAAAATGCAATTACTTCTTTTCTTACACTTTTGAGCGTGTGACAGTTAGATTGCTGCATTAAAGCCTTATGTAGATATGAAATAACTTGCATGTTCAGAGAGCCAAAGCCATCTTTCACCTCTGCTTCCCCTTGGATGAATGCATGGTGAGGTTTTCATTTACACTATGTCTGGAGTAAATGCAAAGCCTGCTACAGAACTGGAAAAAGAAGGGTCAGATTTTTTGTTTGCCTTTTGTTTTTAGTGAGATTAGTGAGGTAGGTTTTCCTGTAGGTGTTAGATTTCTGAGCAAGTAACAGAACAAATAGAACAGACAACTAATAGAGCCTGTTTGTGAGTCCGTGCTACGTGAGGCAATGGAGACTGTGTTAAAAAGCTAGGTTTAACTCTATGGCCTCTGCTGTTGGACTCAGTAGTCAGGGGTATTTATTTTCTTCCAAGTTAGAAAAAAAGCCTCAAGTATAACAGCTTTAGCACAACCACAGTTTAGAGTTGAAATACCATTATCCACCTGGCTACGTAAAATGTCCATTGCTGCCATCATCTGAAAATCACCATTCAATCAGCTAGTGGTGATGGGGGCTCTTCTGAATAAGTAAAACACCTTGAAAGTAGATTGTAAATAGAGACTGAAAAAGACCTGGCAGCATAAACTAAGTCTTCCTGCTTTTTGTGAGGACCTGCCCCTATTAATGTATGTATGCAAAACAATGTTTCTGATGTGAATTCAGTACTTTAAAAGAGGAGGTAATTCAGTACTCCACTGTCTCCCTTTATTTTCAGATTTGAAGCGAGCAGTTACAGGTCTGTACCTAGTGAATACACTGTTCAGATGGAAGCAGAGGAGGAAAGGGAAGCCTTAATCATCAATCCCAGTGAACATGTCGTTGTGCGAAAGGTAAGTGAATGAAAGCTTTTAAACCCCTTAACAGAGTGTGTGCATATTGTATGCTGGTATTTGCAGGCTAGATTGAAGACAGCACACTTTATGATCTGCCTCATGCTACCCCTTTGTTTTTATTGTGTTCCCTCCACTATACCTTTGTTTCTAATCTCATTCATTCTTGGGAGTGCAGATTTCCCTTCTGAGTGATTGGAAGTCACTGTTTTTGGCTTGTCCTCTACACATAAACACAGGCATGAAGCAGCTGCTTGCCTAATCTGCCTTGTCTCTGAAAAGATGTGAAGTGCTCTTTTATCCTGTTAGTATCATGGGGATGGATGAGCCATAGAGGCACCCATTCTGAGTCGTAAACTACTACTGAAACTACATCTTACTCTAAAAATGTCTTAAATTTCTTTCTGTTTGAGTTGTGGATGGTGAGTCAAATAGAGGCAGCTGTAATCCATGCCATAGAATATATTACATCTGTCCAAATTAAAGCATGAGTAACCATATTTATATTGTACGTGTGGCCATTAAATAAAATGTGTATGCATATAATGATGCATTTTCATCCCTAGTGTGTTTATGTAATTACGTAATACACAAATACATTCTATCCGTTCCTCTCCCCTTTTATTAATGCTGTTTTCTTTGGCCTTTAGATCATTTCTGCTTACAGCCTGTGCTGTGGTGCCCATTGCTGCACCAGAGGCAAAAGGTTTAGAGTGGCTCAGAAATCCAAGTTGCAGTGGAGCTTCCTTTCATTTGTATTCATGAATACTTACTGGATGCTTTTTGTTTCCTAACCAGATGAAAGGAGGAGCCCTTTCCATCCGAAGATGGCTTCAAGGGCGAAGTCTTTACTGTTCTAAGCTGCTGACCTCAAGAGCAAAATCCCGCTATTTATTCCTCACGTACCTGGTTACACTACATCTTCTTGTTTTACTGTGCCTCACGGGTGTTCTCTGAATACACTGCATTTTCTTGGGTAACTTACTTCCCTGTAGGTAATGGCGTGCCAATTCAAGATTATAGACTTTTCACATGCTGCTGTTAAGCTATGCACTGGACACAGTTGTATATATTCTTGTTACACTACATGAATCTTGAGCTTCTAAACAGAAATGTGTGTATATCACAGTTGCTCCAAAGTTGACTTGAATCACTCTTTACCAGTGGAATATTATATTTGCTAAGGAGAAAAGATTTCCCTCTGCCCTATAAAGAAACTGCTGCATACAAGTTATTTAATATTGTTTGTGAGTACATAATGATTGATTACTACTGAATGGGTTGTAAATGATATCTTTTCTATATAAATTTTATTTTAAGAGTTAAACTATAAATTTTAAAGGAATATTCAGCTATTACTGTTCACTGGCTTCTTGATTATAACAAGGAGTTTTATAGAGTGCAATAAAGGAAGAACTACTGGATTTTTGATTTAAATTTTTTGTTTGGGTGTTGTTTGGTTTGGGGTTTTATTTTCTGGCTGAAAATAAAAGAATGATGAAGGTTGTTCTGTGGCTGTACAGTTTGTAATGGCTATGGCAAGGTGTGCAGATATGTGTGTGGTAAGGAAGTAAGCCAATGATTAAAGATCCAGAATTGAAATGACATGAAGAAATGTCTTCAACTTCTTATATTCCTTTACTGTTGGTTAAAGGTTCAATTTCCCTATTTTTTCTTGTGATTTTTTCTTTGTTTAAATTCACTCAAATTTGTCTTGGTGGGTTTAGTTACTGCCCGTCTTTGGGGCAGAATTACTCAGCTGCTCAACATGTGAAATTCAGCCTGACATATTTTACATGTTTGGGCTTCAAGGTACAAATGAATAAAGGGTATATTTTCAACCAAGAGGCTGTAAGAAGCAGGATTTACATTCAGTTGCTGTAGACAGCTAATAGTGTTATGTGTTGCATATTAATACATTCATGTTTTGTTACAGTTTTCCCTGAAACCACACAACTATTTATCTCATTCAAAAAATACCTGATTTGTGAAGACTGTGGCTGCTGGAAGCTGGAAGGTTGCTTTTTAACCCTTGTAGTATTGTTTTCTGGTGCTTCTGCTCTCATCTGTATAAAATGGAGATAAAATCAAAACCACCTGAGTCTAAGGGAGTAGACTCACAAAAGAATAGTAGCCGTTTGGTTTCCAGTTTGGTAGACTAAAATCCTGAAAACCTTGTGGGAAAAGAAAAACCTAATGAGTATGGAAGTGGAAGGATTCCATCAGTTTTACTAATGGGCACATTAGTAATGCTAGTGAAGTGAATTATCTGCTTAAGGTCCAAGGAGTCTTGTGTGTGAGGTCTGAGCAGTCACATGGCAGGTAAGAAAGAGGGATCTATGTTTGCAGAGTTAACATTTGCCATATTCTATCTAATGTCCTGCATCCTTGTTTTTGTCAGGTGTCATAGGAGATACTGCCAGGCATAGTTAATACTGCAGGTAAATCCTGTGAATCTTATTTTTTTGATGGTTCTTTATTATTAGTCTAGCAAAGTTCTGAATTTCTATGTAAGTCCAATCTATTCCAATATAACTGATGTCCTTTTTATTGTAGAGTGGTAATGGCTGCTCTCTTTTGAATGGCTGATTGCTGATTCAGTCCCTGTTTTCAGCCATAGTGTCACCCAAGTCCTGAGATAAGTCAGCTATTTCAGTCTTCGTGCTGCACAAACAAGCACCAGGTACGGTTGAAACATAAGAGTACTGTACATGTGAAGACTTCTCCCTTTCCAGCTTGAAGATGAGTGTTAACAGAATGATAGTGAGCTATTCTTAGCTAATTGTGTTATATCAAAGCAGAATGTTTCCCAGTGAGACCAGTGGACCTACAGATCCTTCTAGTCTTACTCATCCACTGTGAGGGATTTTTGTCTTCAGGGGAGAAAACAACCCTCTGTCATGAGGCAGAGCAAGTTAGGGGGAGTGGGAAAGGATCCAGAGATGTTAGAAATTCTGCCCTAATTTATCCAGGCCTTTGTGCTGTCACTGTGATAAGCACAAGCTGAGGATAAAAGTGCCCAAAAATGGCTTGACACATGTAGATATTCTGTGAACTCCATTCCAGAAGCTAATATAAATGTGATGAAAGGTGAGATCATTCATTTATGAGGAGGTTTTACAGATCATCACCATTTCCCGGGTAAGTATTGCCCTGAGAGTTTTCTCATCTTACAGCTTAGGATTTTAATACTTACTTCACTTAGTCTGGGATCTTTTCAGGATGTACACATTTCTTCCTGGACTTGGATGCTGTTTGCCTCAAGCTTTGAAGGAATTCCAAAGTGTCTTCTGGGGTAAGGTAATTTGGATTTGACAGCATGGTTGTAGGGAAACGTACAGGCATTCCTTATAGCTGGAAGGATTGGTAGAGTGTGGTCTCTTTGAGACCTGGAAGAACATTTCAGTGTGTTTGCTGTTATCCTGGGAATACTATTTCTCACCATAGAGGATTAAACATCTTGCTCCTATCCAACCAAGGAGCAGCGCTAAGCTCTCAGAGCCTTGTAGCCCTGCTCTGCTTTAAAATTCTCTACTCTTAAATTCTAATATCACATCTGACGTAATTTCTGATATAGTTAAGAACTGATTTTCCTTCTGGTTTACACTGATGGAATCAGAGCCTCCGTGCAGGTCTGAAATGTTGGGTACTGCTGGTAAATGGTTGGTTTATTGCACTTTTAAAAGCCTTTTCCTGTGGGTTTTAGAACAAAATAACAATTCATGGCAATGGGAATCAATGCTCAAAAATACTGGTTGCTAGAATTAGTGGTTAAACAGTCCTATATTAAAGCTGTTAACAAATTAAAGTGATGAAATTGCTGTGCTTCCTTATGTGAAAAAGAATCTTCCAGTCACATGCACATCAACAAGAATTAGAATTATTTTCTTCTTTAAAATAATGTCATGTTTTCAAGTTACACTTCCGTTTCACCTGTAGGTGTTGGGATCAGTCACAGTCTTGCTTTGTAAAGCATATAGGAAAGGACTGAACACCAGGAAGCATTAATTTGGTTGCAGGGCAGACCCTAATGTTGGTGGCTGCTCCGCCACCACTCCTGGCATGCCAGTGCACACAGGGCTTAGGTGAAACTATAATGCCATCAGAAGACAAACACCTTTTTGCATTAACAGCAAGAATGATGCTTCATACATTTTTTTGCATTGTTAAAGACAAGAACTTTGTTGGACAAGTAGTGTTTGTCATTCCTTTCTGAAGTACGTTTCCTTACCAAGTAAAGTTGCCAGAGAAGGAAGATCAAAAAGCTTCCTTCTACTCAACTGCCTAAAGAGGCAATGATACAGTCCTTAAAATAACCAAGGAATTTGAAGCAGAAGTCTTGGCGAGATTCAGGCCCTCCCTCAGTGGGAGTTTTGCCATGAATTCCAATGAGTTCGGGACTTCGTCTAATGTGTTGGCCAACTGCTGAAGTTGAGTTGTTCCTGGGCTGCCTCTTGTCCTCTTTCCTAGAATAACCACTTTGATAAGGTATTTACCACTTACAAATATGGAATAGGTCCTGTAGTGAGCACTTCACTTCACAGAGTAGGTGCCATTTAAAAACACACAGCAAATGATTCCCTGAAACTTTCAGTAGGGGTTATTTTTAGTTGGTTGCTTAAGACTGATGATGACCCTCAAAGAAAAAGGCAAATTGAAATATGCCACTGTGGTCTCGGAAGTAATAAATGTTTGGTGATTCTAACTTACCATCTAACTGCTAACATTAGAACTGGTAGGTTCATATCATCGATTTTTAACAAATGACATTTCCAGAAGATAATTCAGCCTTGGAAGAGATGCTTAAGTCCAAATAGAGGTGAATGTGTATCCTCTAGCTGAACTTATCCCATGGTCGTGAGGCCAATTAAAAGAGTATCACAGGACCCCTTGAGGCTAAAGGAGAGCTTTCCCTTTTGGAAACAAAACCTGAATGTCATGATTAATTTGTCTGTTGAAGCTGAACTTTGTGTGGACACATAACATGCTTTGCAAGATTAGGGCTTTAGTGGAGCCTTTGCTGTTTAGGCTTATTCTTTTCCCAGACTATTCCTTTTACAGCAGTTTGCTGTCTAAATTATAGAGAGTTACTTCTGTCTGATTCCCTTCCATTTGCTTCCCTCCCATCTCTCCAAATCACTGTCTTGCAGCCAAAATTGTGAGACGCTCTGTGCAATGACGATGAAACTACTGCACTTGTATGTGACAGTGGTTCTGGGCTTTGCAAAGCTGGGTTTGCAGGAGATGATGCCCCCAGAGCTGTATTTCCATCCATCGTTGGAAGGCCTCGACATCAGGTCGGTACCAAAATGAAAGTTTGGGGGGTTGGTTTGGGTTGGTTTGAGGGTTTTTTGGGACTTTAAATGTGGCAGTGAGAAAACATCAGACTTATTCCCATCGGCCCTTGTAGGAGTTTAGCATGTTAAGAACTGGAGGATTAAGCTGCACATATTTATCACTGTGAGGTTGAATTACTTTATCCTTTGGAAAAGGGGTTCTTCAGCCATAAGGTGTTGGCTAAAGAGGAACATGAGTGTCTTAATGGTATGAAGGTGTCGTATAGGGAAAAAAAGCCCAACTTGTTAGATAAATTAATACTTGCTGTATCAATACAAAGGAAAAAGATAAGCAGAATAGTGTTAAGTTCCTTTCCTTACTTTAGTAAGTAAAAGTATGGCCCAATAAACTTCTAAAAAAGGTCTCTAGCACATCACTTGATCAACTCGAACGAGACTAGAAAGGATAAGTGTGGCTTTTCTTGACCTTCTTTCTGCTTAGCTGCTTTTGTAATAGATCCTTTATGAATAGAAAATGCAAATTTGTGTTCATTTTATTCATATATGAATCAGATTTTAATTTTCTGGGCTACAGAAACCCTTCTCTGAAGTTCTAGGTGGACTTTTGCTGAGCTAAAAGAGCCTGGTTTGACAGGTGTAAAATACTAAGCATTTTGAAGTGCATTTTGAACACCTGTATGAATCACTGCAGTTGAATATCAGTTGTTGAAAACATCCATTATTTAACCTCCCTTTGTTCATTGTCTTTTGGCATGTAACTGTGCACAGTGAAGCTGCTCAGCAGCTGTAATCATGGATAAATAGTAAAAGTTAATTCTTTGTTTGCTAACTGATATATAATAGATTACCTCATATGTATTTATATTATTTGGGGCAATCACAATAGGCTTCCTAATGCAAACATGATAAACATTGTAAAACTATTATTTAGTGAGTTTTCTTTTAGAAAATCTGTCTCGCTTTTATATAAATTAAAGCTTTTTCCCCAAAACATATTTTTCAAAGCTATTTAACTTCCAGCAAGGGGGGATCTCACTGTTTAAAGGCAAATAATGGAACTGCCTTAAGCAGAAAGTGCAACCTAATATATAAAGGAAATCTAGGGAGATTATCTCTTTTCCCCCTACAATTCCTTCTCTTTATTCCTTTGCACAATGACAAAGAGCCCATCACTTGTGGAGAACCATGAGTGTGGTGATGGCTGCCATG